ACTCATAGGCTCCCAGAATCTGCAAATTTTGTCTTATCAGGGGCTTCAGAATAGGGTCAAAAACTTTCAGAACCTTATTTCCAAGCAAGTTAGTGTCCAAAAATGTCCATCAAAAATTAGTAATTCCACCAAAGCAATGGTTCTTGGTTGCATATTGAAATCAATTTTGAAATTGGTATTTAGGGACTTTCCTGGCAGTCCAGTGGTTAAGACCCCAGGCTTTCAATGCTTGGGGTATGGGTTTGATCCCTGGTTGGGGAACTAAGATCCCACATGACTCGAGCCAAAAAAAAAAGAAAAAGAAAAATAATCAATGTCTGGGTCTTTCCCCAGGATATTCTGATTAAACTGGTCTAGGGTATGGCAACAGAACTTTTTTGAAAAGCAGCACATTTTATGGTAAAAGCTAGCTTGCTTTCTTTCAAGATTGTCCATTTCTTTAGAGATCTGGCTTCTATTTGCACACATTCTGCCTGAAAGTTTTTGATGGTATAAATGAGGGATTTATCCTTTGAAGATAAATGCTGACTGAACTATTTATTATCATTCACATAATGAACAATTATCAACTAAGTCAGTATGTTCAGTGACAAGCACAAAATGCTCAGTTCAACCATCAAAGGTGAAAATAATGACCCTTAAAGATGCTGCTTCTTGGTTCATATACTCCTGCCTCATCACCTTCACACTTCTTTGACTGGAATTCTGCCTCCTCAGAATAGTCAGCTCACTCAACCACTTCAGCATCCACACAAATTCCCTCAACATTGCTGCCTGCCCCTCCCCACACTCTTCCCAGTGCTTACCCGCTTCATGCCCACCACTTCTCATTGGCCTCCTGGGTTGACTATAGCTGTTCCTTGTGAACTGAGTCAAGCATTTTGAAGGCATTCTTACTATCTCAATACTCCCACTGACAGTGGCTGTAGTGTGATGTGGTGACGGCCTCAGTAGTGACAGTCAGCAAAGGTGGTCAGGATAATGGTGGCTGCTGATGAGGCAGCCATGACAGACAGGAGCAGTAGCAGCTGTGGCCACAGAAGTGAATGGTCACAAGGTGGAGCCCACTGAAGAGAACTCAGTGGGTGAAGCAGCCAAGACAGCAGCTCTTTGTTGGAGAACTTTCTACAGAGCTCACCCCAACCAAGTGTGTGGAAAGCAGCAAGTGGCAGGAAATTAAAAACCCAACCCTTTGGGACTTTGCTAGTGGCCCAGTGGTTAAGACTACACACTTCACTGCACGGGCCATGGGTTCCATCCCTGGTTGGGTTAACTAAGATCCCGTAGGTCAAACTAAGATAAAAATAAAAACAAAGCCCATCCCCTTAAGCAGCCCTCAGTCAAATAAACGGTGGGGGTCAGTGTACAGACACCCTCACCACTCGAGTGGGAAACCTATTTCCACCGCTTCCCAGATTTCCAAGAGGATGAAGATGTTATGCATGGTGCTAACTTCCTTGCTAATGCACCTCTGATGAGCTGCTTTCCCGTCTGTTTCATTTCCCATACTCCTTCCAGTGCTTTCTGGGATCATCTCCCAAATCCTTGTTCCCGTCTGTTTCATTTCCCATACTCCTTCCAGTGCTTTCTGGGATCATCTCCCAAATCCTTGTTCCAAAGTTTGTTTCTGGGGGAATCCAAGCTAAGATAATGCATCATGAACCCAGGATTATGATTCAAGCACATATGGCACATAACAAAAACAGACCATATGCCAAGCCAACAAGTCTCAACATCTTTCCAAAAGACTGAAATAATATAAAATGTGTTCCCAGCTCAACTGCAATTAGACAAGGTAACTAGAAAAATTTCTATATGTTTAGAAATTTTAAAACATAATTTTAAACATCTAAGTGATCTGAGATCAGTGAAATAGCTATGCTTTGAGGAAATTTAAGTGTGCATATTAGAAAAAGGAAAAGGCTGAAAATCAGTGAGCTAAACATTTAAAGACTTCCCTGGTGGCTCAGATGGTAAAGCATCTGCCTACAATGTGGGAGACCTGGGTTCAATCCCTGGGTCGGGAAGATCTCCTGGAGGAGGAAATAGCAACCCACTCCAGTATTCTTGCCTGGAAAATCCCATGGCCGGAGGAGCCTGGTGGGCTATAAGTCCAAGAGGTCGCAAAGAGTTGGACACGACTGAATGACTTCACTTCACTTCAAACATTTAAGAAGTAGAAAACAAAATTAAATACAAGAAAAGAAGGATTTAATAATAAAGAAGAGATTTAAATTAAAAACAAATATAGAAAGAGGGCACCAACAAAGCCAAGAGTAGATTCTGTGGAAAGATTAATAATAAATTCCTGTCAGGACTGACCAAGGTAAAAAGGAGGAAGGCACAAATAACCAACATCAGAAATGAGAAAGGGGACATCCCTGGTAGTCCAGGGGTTAAGACTCTGCCTTCCAGTGCAGGGTATGTGGGTTCAACCCACACTTACTGGGTTCCAGCTAAGATCCCACATTCCTCCTGGCTAAACAGAAGCAATACTGTAACAAATAAAGACTTTAAAAATGATCCACATAAAAAAAAAAAAAAAGTCTTGCCCAGAGTCCAGGTGGGAACTAAGATCCCACAAGCCTGGCAGTGCAGTAAAAAAAAAAAAAAAAAAAAAAAAAAAAAAAAAAAAAAAAAAACGGAAATGAAAAAGGGGCCTTTTGTTACAGATTTGATTAGACCTTAAAAAGATGAGGATATTAAAAACAAATTAATAGCAATTAAAAAATTCAGATCATGTGAAAAATTCCTAGAAAATATATTTTACCCAAACAGACACAGGAATAGAAACTGTGAAGTTTTTGTGGGCAAATATAGGCAAAAATTCTTTGCAGGCAAATGCCATCAAGAGGCAGTCTTCCCTCTCCCTACACCTTTAACCTGGGTTGGCCTCATGACTTACTTTGACCAACAGAATGTGGTAAAGGCGGGAACTTTTTTTTTTTTTGCTCTCTTGGACCCCTGAGTAAAAGTAAAATGTTAGTTGCTTAGTTGTTTCCGATCTTTCCAACCCAGTGGATTGTAGCCCACCAGACTCCTCCATCCATGGGACTTTCCAGGAAAGAATACTGGAGTGGGGTGCCAACTCCTTCTCCAGGAACCCTGAGACCCAACTATAAGGAAGCCTGTTATAAGAGAGGCCCCTTAAAGATATTCTAAAAGTCTCCACTTCCATGTTGTTTGTTCTTACCACTTCTTTTAGTCACTTGGAGAGAACCCCACAGCAGCTTACTCAAATAGAGGGCCAGGCTGAAAACATACACAGAAATCTGAGGGCTCAACACACAGCCCAGGGAAATTGAAGCTGAGAACAGAAAGCCACCGAGATCCACACCACCCTTTCAGGAACCACAGGAAGGGAGAACAATCCACTCTCCACTACCTGAGTTTTCTTGTCTGGGTCTCACGTCGTCAACCTTGGCTGCACAGGACTTCCACTCTGGCTCCTAATCCAACTAACAATACCCTTTGTTTCAGGAATCAAATCCCCTGGAGAGACTCCCCGCTCATTTTTCCAAGCCAAAGTGCAAGCTTTAAGATCTGTTCAGCACTGTGACATGAGTCCCCTCAAAAGAGGAATAACTTATCTAAATAGTGAAGATGGATGCAGGCTCTGGACTCGCTCTCTCCTGCACACCTGCCCATCTACCCTCTGCCCTTCAGGACTTGCCTCTGCAGGAAGATGGATCAACCAACTATGCCTGTGGAGCCTGTGATCCTGAAAACAAACACAGAGAAGCTGCAGTAGCCACAGCAGGCACCTACCCATCCCCTGAGCACACTCTCCTGTGTGCTGAAGGCTGCTCACTTCATTCCCTGCTGCCCTCTGCTCAGGGTTCTGCTGGTGGGAGGGCACCTGACCACATACCAGGCAGTCAATGCCTGTGAAAACATCCCACAATGTCAGATGGGAAGCTGGTGTACATACACCCCAATTTCCTTGCCACTGGGAAGGGGAAACTGAGGGATGTTCTTTGCTATCTCCCAGAAGTCCCAGGTGGGACAGAGCCTCAGGAATAACTGGCTTGATGACGCACCTTTTATCGGCTGCCTTCCTGTCTACTACCCACTGGTGTTTCTGGAATCACGCCCCCCAGACACTACCTGCATTCACATTCTCTCTGTTAGACCCTTTGTCGTCGTTGCTTTAATCGCTCAATCATGTCTTGACTCTTTTGAGACCCCACGAACTGTAGCCTACCAGGTTCCTCTGACCATGGGATTTTCCAGGCAAGGATACTGGAGTGGGTTGCCATTTCCTTCTCCAAGGAATCTTCCTGACCCAGGGATTGAACCAGTGTCTCCTACATTGGCAGGAGGATTCTTTACCACTGAGCCAAGGAAGCCAGGGTTAGACCCTGGAAGGATGGAAACCATGACAGAAAAGAAGCCCAGGGTGGCAAACCCTAAGCCACATCCTTCAATGCAGATGTTTTCAATACAAAAGCAAGTATTTTCACCTACACTGCCTCATGTCCATGTCAATCACCCAGCTGGTTCTGAACTCAGGAGGCAAGGAGGTATGTTATTTACTGCCCCCAAAGCTTCAAGGAAACACTCAGTGAAGACTTGGTAAATGCTAGAGTTAAAAGGAGAGAGAGCTCTGCTCCATATCTGTGCAGCAGGAACCAGGAAACGGATGTTGGTAGAGTTGAGGACAGAAGAGGGGTTGTCTTAACCCTGGTGAACAGTTGGTGTGGCTTGGCTGGTGCCCCAGGACCCCTTTGGTACACTAGGTTAAGGTGGGGAAACGGGACCCCCTCAGGTGCTGAAGGCAGGGCTCAAGCCTGGTATACAGTCTTTATACAGTCTTTATTGTGAATCTTGATGTCCAGGGAAGCCAGGCCCACATCCAGGGCCCTCAGGACTCCACCTGGCCATTCTTCAGGGGCGGGGACATCCTGTGGCCAACCACTCATGTCCAGTTTTCCTACAATCCGAAGGGTCCTCAGGAGGCAGGAAGTGGGTGTGCCTGAGGAAAAAAAGACATCAGCATCTACCAGCACCTCTTGTGTGCCTGGCTGGCTCTGGGACCATGCTGGGGAGACTGTAGATACAGCAAAGGCTGCCCTGGCAGAGCTCAGACTGGAGGGAAACGGTGTCAGGCGATGACCTCAGCTGTCTGTCACGTGAACACCTCGGGAGCAGGGAACTGTCACTGGGGGCAGAAACGCAGCGTTCTGTTGGGTTTACAGAGGACCTGCTGTGTACATACAGGATTGTGACAGGTTCCAGGGACCCAGCAGTGGAGGCACACACACATCTCTGACTCCAGGGAGGGACAGATAACAAGCGAACAGAAATTTGTCAGCTGATAAATCCCATGAAGAAAACTACGGACTTCCCCAGTGGTTCAGTGGTTAATCGTCTGCACTTGCAGCTTCCACTGCACGGGGTACGGGTTTGATCCCGAGTCAGGGAACTAAGATTCCACATGCCTCTCAGACAAAAAAAAAACAACAGAAAACGGAAAGAAAAGACAAGCTAACACAAGATGTCTTTATACCACGTTGTACTAAATGAGCCTGTGCGTTTGCTGTTTTGGAGACCAGAGGATACAGGAGGTCTGAATCTCAATGCCCCCAATCAAAGAGGAAAAGCTACAACTGGGATGTTAAAACAGGGAAGGAGAGGACACTGAGGAGGGGCTGGGTGTGGGGTAATTACTTTGAGTGCACTGGAGAACCTCCTGGCTTTAAAGGAGCAGATGTGACCCAATTTCTGTTTTTAAAAGCTCCTCTGGATATCGCTTATGTGTGGAATCTGAAAAATGGTACAAATGAACTTATTTACAGAACAGAAATAGACTCACAGATGTAGAAAACAAACTTATGGTTACCAAGAGGAAAAGGGAAGGGGGGGATAAATTGAAATAAAACACATTGTGTGTGTATATATACACACACACACACACAAAAAATCAGTGATAGTCGCTCAGTTGGTCCAACTCTTTGCAACCCCATAGACTGGCTCCTCTGTCCATGGAATTCTCCAGCCAAGGCTATTGGAGTGGGTTGCCATTCCCTCCTCCAGGGGATCTTTTCGACCAGGGATTGAACCTCTGTCTGTGTCTCCTGCATTGCAGGCAGATTCTTTACTGTCTGAGCCACCAGGGAAGCCCATATATATATATATGAATGAAACAGATAAGCTACTGCATAGCACAAAGAACTCTGCTCAATACTCTATGACCTATATGAGAAAAGAACCTAAAAAAGCGTGGATATATGTTTATGTGTAACAGATTCACTTTGCTGTACAGCAAAAACTAACACAACACTGTAAGCCAATTATATATCAATGATAATTAAAAAAACAAATAAATAAAAAGCTCGTTTGGCTTCAAGGGGAGAGCAGACTTGAGGAGCAGGGCAGGGATGACCACAGGAAGATGAGGGAGAGGCTTGGTTGCTCACTCAGGGAGGGAGGGAGGGAGGAACTGGCCCTGAGATGGGAAGATGAGGTCTTTGGTCAGATGCCCATTAACTTGAAAGAAACGTCACCAACATGATTAATAACCTAATATAAATAGTATGTAGTCCTTACTGAATATTTTTTGGAAAGAAGTCTGTCTCACAGATGACTCAATTAGGATTTGAACTCATCTCTGCCTTATGAAAAAAACCCACTGACTACAGGATCTGGTAGAAGGGCAGCTCCCCAGTCTTTAGCAAAGAACTCCTCTGAAACTGGCAATAGGAGGGGAGCAGTTACAAGGGGTAAAATATAAGCCATTGTGGAAGGAGCTCAGGGATCCTGGGAGGATAAGAGATAGGCCACAAGGGGAGGTTTCCTGAGGGAGGGAACATCTAAGCTGGAAATGGAATGAGTCAGATGGAGTAGGAAAGGGCAGTCCAGGCAGAAACAGTGAGATAGAAGCCTGGAAACAGGTGAGTTTAATGGGCATTTGAATAACTGCAGGTTCACTGGGGTGGGAACACAGGGCTTGAGGGGATTGTGGGGAGAGGGATGGTCAGAGGCCACATTCTGCAGGGCCCTGGAGGCTGTGCCAGAATGGGGGAGGAGGGGTAGACTAGACCTGGTCAACATAAGAGCCATGAAAAAGTTTCTTTTTTTCACTTTATTATTGAAGTATAATTGCTTTACAATGTTGTGTTAGTTTCTGCTATACAACAAAGTGAATTAGCTATATATACACCTATACGCCCTCCTTCTTGAGCCTCCTTCCCACTCCCCCATGAGAAGATTTCTTAGTAAAGTGGTACATTATCAGATTTCCTCTGGAATCACCCTGGGACCATCACAGAGAATGGATTGAAAGAGCTAAGACAGAGCATGGAAGCCCAAGAGAAGGCTTCTCTTCTGGGTTCAAGAAGAGAAGATGGTGCCCCAAGAACTGAGAGAGGGGGACAAAGGAAGGGGGATTGAGAGGGAACTGGTGAAAGATCTGACTTTTACCTTCAGAGCTTGCAGTCCAGTGGAGGAGACAGTAAACAACTAAACCACCATTTCTCAACTTTTCTTTTTTAAGATTACTGCTCCCCCCTCACCCAAGGAGTCTTTTTTGAACATTTAAAAAAAAAAAAGCACCCATCCATGACATTTTAATACCATAGATATATTGTGCATCTGCTTATGTACTGTATACATTAAAACCAGTTATTATTTTTTTGCCCCATCCCTGCAGAGCTGAGAGGCAGTGAGGAGGAGAGGGGGCATGGGTAATGGAGGAGGCAGATGGGGTCAGCCTGGAAAAGAACACAGAAAACCAGCAGAAAGCTGGGATTCTGTTCTCAATGTGGATGGGAAGCTGCTGAAGAACTTCAGACAAAGATGTAATGTGATTAGTTTTCAGTTCCTAAATGTTCTCTCTGGCCACTACATGGAGACAAGGTAAGAGGGGGGCTTCCCTGTGGTTCAGTGGTTGAGAAACCCCCTTGCAATGCGAGCAACACCAGTTCGATCCCTGATCCAGGAAGATCCCACATGCTGTGGAGCAACAAAGCCTGTGGGCCACAACTACTGAGCTTGTGCTCTAGAGCCTAGGAGCCACAACTACTGAGCCCATGCGCTGCAACTACTGAAGCCCGAACATCTAGAGCCTGTGCTCTGCAACAAGGCAACAAGAGAAGCAACCACCACAGCCAAAACCTTAAAAAAAAGAAAGAAAATCTTTAGAAAGGTAAGAGGGGATTCAGGGAGACCAGGGAGAAGGCTGGGGCAGGTCTCCTGGTGGTGGAGGTGGCTGGACTAAAGCAGGGGCTATGGAAGGGGTGAGAGAGGACTGTGTTCTGATGTCCTGGGGTCAGGATGCATGGTGAAGCTCTGTGTGGGGCTGAGGGTGACTCCCTGGTCTTTACTCTGAGCAACCAGAAGGATGACAGGGTGGGATGAACCTTTGAGCCCCAGCTTACCTCCAAGGTGGAGGGTCTGTGTGTTGGCTGCACCTGCTCCGCACACTGCAGGAATCGGCGCACGTGCTCCGCACAGTTGCCCACGGCGGCTTCATTCTGTCGAAGACATTCCTCAAAGGCCTTGAAAGGTTCCAAACAGGCCTGGCGGATCTGACGGATGATTGGGCTGCGGGATGCAGGGCATTTCAAGCCAGGGAGACTTCCACGCCACTGCCCACCCCCATTGTCCCGTACTTGCCCACACTCACTGGGCGGACGTGCACTGGGCAATGCTCATCTTAAGGTGGTGACAGTCTCGCTGCCATGACTCCGGCTTGGCTGCCACACACTGGCCATACTGCTCCAGCTCCCGGCCGCAGTAGCGAGCAGTGATCTCCAGGGCTGCCTGCCTGTGGGATATAATACACTAGGAAAATTCCAGGCAGAAGGCAAGAAAGGGAGTACTCAGGGGCAGGCACTTGGCCCATTCTGTTCACGGCTGTACCCACTGGAAAAAACACTGGGGGCTGTACCCCCAGTGTTCAGTACATAGTGAGTGTTCAAAAATCATTTGTTGAATAAATGAAAGTGTATGTGTGTACCATCCCATTTTAGATACTGTAGAAGACAAGCTATTAATGTCTCTTGTACCAATGCATCCAATGAAAACATTAAGACACAACAGAATAACTGAAAAAACTGCCTATAGTTTACTGTTCAAGTATTCATATTTGTACACTGCTTTTAGCTATTACCATTAGGAAAGAAAAAGCAAGATCATTTCTAAACCTAAGCTAAAATTTAAAATTCTGTTCTTAAAGAATTTCTGAAAAGAAATGACACTACATATTCTTACTGTCACATCAAAAAGATGGTTCTGCTTGTTTGTGACCTTTCCTAAGTTAATAAACAATAAACAAGAAACAGTTTTTTTAAAAAGGGAGGTAGTTCTGATCAGAGTCAGGAGTGGGACTGGGGTCTTGGGTAAATCTGAAAATTTGAAGATTCCTGGAAAAGGGCCAAGAAGTAGAGAATTAAGCATGAGCCTTGGGGATTGTGGGGCAGGCTGGAAGCTTCTGGGGAAATAGTGAAGGCCCTGGAAAAAAAAGTTGGATTATCTAAGGCAGGTTTTAAGGGTCCTGGAAGAAGGGTCTTGGGAGTCCCAGCAACCCCCAGTTTAGGCCTGGGAATCATGCAGAGAAGTCTTAGGGCCTTAGGACTAACACCTAGAGTTCTCTGAGAGAACCTGGGAGCACTACATGAGTTTGAAGGCCCTAAAAGTGAGGTTTAGAGGTCCAAGGAGGTGACTTCTTGGGTCCTGGGGAAGGGTCTCTTGACCAGAGGGTCTTAGAGATGAGGCATGAAGACAGGGGTACTGAAAGTGAGACTTGAAGCCCTGGGGCAGATTTTGCGGTCCTGGGGGAGGTCTCAGGGTCCTAGGGGCATGACCTGGAGACCGAGGCTCTGGGGTAAATCTGGAGGGTTCTACAATTGAGCTTTTCCTACTTTCAGGAACACGGTCTGGAAATCCAGAGTGAGATCAGAGGTATCTAGAAACAAGTCTGTGGGCCTTATAGGTGAAGTCTGAAGTACTGGACAGATTTCAAAGGTTCAACAGGTACGGTCAGATAATGCAGGGGGAGGAATATGGAGCTCTAAGGACAGGTTTATTAAAAGTCCTAGAGCTCCTGAGACAGTCCGGAGTGGTAGGGTTACAAGGTGAGTGACCATACCTGGGGTTTCAGAGGCAAAGTTTGGGGTGTTAAGAGAATGGACCCGAAAGAGGAGTGGAATTTAAACGCTCAGAGGGCTCTATGATCACGCAGAGAACTAGGGCCTGTGAAGGACTGAGCTGAACCCTGAGGCTCGAATCTTCAGGGAACAGGGAAGTCAGTCCTTCCGGGTAAAGAAGAGGTGAACGGGGGTAGGTACGGAGTAGGCGCTCCAGTTACTCACATCCTGAGGCCGATGCTGGAGGAGGATCAGTGAGGGAGAATAGTCCCGCCTTTTCCTATATCAAGTTGTCATGGCGGCGCCCAGCCCAGTCTCCTTGACTTCTAGATTCGGTCGGTCGCAAAGTAGACAGGAAGGTCCCTTCCCATTAGGCCCAATCAGTCATGGCGGCGCCCTGCGTAGCGACTTCCGCCTCCGGCCGGCTGGGGTACTAGACGCCCTTCTGTTTCCGGCTTGCCCTGGCTACGTGAGGAATTCCCCGGAAGTAGTTGGAGGTATCGCGGTACCTCCGCCATACTGGGAGTGCCGTGCAGGTTTGCGGGACGCCGGGACTTCGCCGCCGCCGATCGCTCTCTAAGCCTTCCGATTGGAGCAGGTGGCGAGCGGCTTCCGCTGCTGCGACCCCTCAACATGCTGCTGTTCGCTGCTTGGTTGGGCTCTGTGGCTGCCGGCTGCTGAGCGCTAGGACGCGGAAGCTGTCCCCTGAGGCCGCGCTGCACCTTCTGTCTACGCATGCGGACATCCGCTACTACGGAGACTGGTCCTGCGCATGGTCGAGTGGGCGGGAAGGGCGAAGTCACCCCAAGAGCTGTACTAGGAGATCTGGAAGTCTCCTTTACTCAAGCTGGGTTACCCAGGCCTTGACCACTACCCAGGGCATTTACACGTGAATCTAAAGACGGACGTGCGTTTTCATCTCGGTTCTCTGCCGTCATGGGGGAGTTAGTCACTTCTCTGTAATTCTTCATGTTATGACTACTCCGCCTCCTCGGTTGTGTCTTCAGGTGTGGAGGCTCTGTGTGCGTAATCCCTTGGTTAGACAATTGAGTATCAGTCCTGCTGTCTCCTACACAGAGGTGTTGCCAGCCAAAACGAATGTAAAAATGTAGTTAATCATAATGTCTAAAAGAAATAATAGTCGTTTGTGAGCAAGTGACAATTGCTTGGGCTTCCCTGGTGGTTCAGCGGTTAAGAATTCACCTGCAATGTAGGAGACCCAGGTTTGATCCCTGGGTCAGGAAGATCCCCGGGAGGAGGGCAAAGCAACCCACTCCAGTATTCTTGCCTGCAGAATCTCATGGACAGAGGAGCCTGGCCGGCCACAGCCCACGGGTCGCAAAGAGTCGGACACACTGAGCAACTGAGTGAGGCACACGTTTAGCGTGCCTGACAATTGCTCGGAGTCTCAGAATGTTCCCCAGCTGAAACACCACAGTTCAGATGGGACTGGAACCTGTGGACTGGGATTTTAACCCACTGTCTTTTAAACTCACCTGGTCTCAGGACTTAATGAAGCTAAAGTTCCTTATGTCTCTTCACAGAAACAATTCATTGAGAGACAAAGTGTTAAATAGTTATTTCCAGAGATGCACACTCTATAAGCAGAATGCGGTCCCTCTCAAGGGGAGAGCAGCCCTGAAATATGGGGTGGTTAATTTTGGGGGGATGGGTAATTTCTTAGGCTAAGGAGTAGGAGGATATTCCAACTATTTGGGGGAAGGGGTTGGGGATTAGGCCATCGCCCACTTTTTGCCCTCTTGTGGTCTCCCTTAAAACTGTCATGGGGCTTCCCAGGTGGCGCTAGTGGTAAAGAATCTGCCTGCAATACAGGAAACGCAGGTTCCATCCCTGGGTTGGGAAGATACCCTGGAGGAGGACATGGCAACCCACTGCAGTATTCTTTCCTGGAGAAGCCCATGGACAGAGGAGCCTGGTGGGCTGCAGTCCATGGGGTCACAGATGGAGAGACACAACCGAAGCGACTGAGCACAGAACTGTCATGGTGCCAGTGGGGTGTCATTTGCATGTGCTAATGTATTTACGGTGAGTGTATCATGGGGCTCAAAGTCTACTGGACGTTGAATTCCTCCCTCTTGGGGCTAATTGGTTCTAACCGGTTTTTGTTATACCGACAACACTATGCTGTTCTTTTAATTTTTGGCCCTGACACACAGCTTGCAGCATCTTCGTTCCCCAACCGACCAGGGACAGAACATCTTGGGCCCTTGGCAGTGAAAGCACCCAAGTCCTAACCGCTGGACCACCAGGAAATTCCCAGGGAATGGGTTTTAAAGACAGGGTGAGGGATGGGGTTGTGGGCTGTGTGATCAGTTCTGGATATTTTTCTAATTGGTTAGTGGTGAGGTAGCCAGGAGTCAGCATCATCAGCCTTCTGGTTCCAACCAGTCTGGGTTCCATTTGCCTCAACCTGGTGTGGGTTTTGGTATCTGCGAAACAGCTCGAAGGATATGGCTCAGAATATTAACTATAGCCACGAGGAGGAACTAAAGGTCCTTGGCTTTGTTTAATGGCTAAGCAATTTTGTCTTGTTTGACTATTACCCTTTCTGCTTTTTCTCACTTCTCTGATTAAATTTACTCTTTGGAAATTGGGGAAGACATACAAGGCTAAAGTTTTACTACAGACAAGAAGCAGGTAGAGGACATGGGGAGGGAGGTCTGTTCTGAGAAGGCCCCATGGCATCCTGCTTGGTTGCAAGTGTGTGAGACTGTAAAATTGGGATGATGACAATGACATTTTTCACATAATACATGGTGCATGTGAGCAGTTTGGCACGAAGCCTGAAAGAGAGGAAGGGAACAGCATCAGCATCTCTTTTCTTTGGCTTCAGATGTAGACTAAAGTCTCAGATTTCTCCCCTCCTGGGAGAATGAAATCTTAAGCTGTTCCATGGCCTATCCCTGAGTCTTATCCCAAAGTCTAGGTAATAGCTTCCTCCCAGGAACGGGTTCAAATGGCTGGGCTTCTAAGTGATGGAGACCTCAGCAGGAGAACTGCACCCCCCCCCCTTTTCTTTGGCTTCAGATGTAGACTAAAGTCTCAGGTTGTAGGCACCTGATCCACTGCCACCTTCAGAGACCCCCCCCCCCCCCCCCCCGGCCCCCTTGGGAGCATGACATTCACGCCTCCAAACTTCTAGTTGCCTTTGTGGCTCAAGAGTATAACTGACTTCCTCTCTAGATATCGAATGTAAGGGAGACCCAAGTGATCATGGGGTTTGGAGTGAAGCAGAGCTGGGTTTGAACTTGAACTCTTGGAGAATGCTTCTCTTTGGGTTTCAGTTTCCTCATAACATGTTTCAGGATACCTTTGAAACTAGGAACTGAGATGACATACACCAAGCACCTGATATGGAGCACTTGGTATTCTCTCTCTATCCTCGTCAGAGTTTGTTTCTTTAGTTGCTAAGTTGTGTCTGACTGTGGGACTGCATGGACTGTGGCATGACAGGCTGCTCTGTCCTTCATTATCTCCCGGACTTTGCTCAGATTCATGTTCATTGAGTCAGTGCTGCTGTCAAATCATCCCATCCTCTGTTGCCCCCTTCTCCTTTTTCCTTCCATCCTTGCCAGCATCAGGGTCTTTCCCAGTGAGTCTGCTCTTCACGTCAGGTAACTAAAGTATTGGAGCTTCAGCTTCCGAATCAGTCCCTGCAATGAATATTCAGGGTTGATTTCCTTTAGAAATGACTAGTTTGATCTCCTTGCTGTCCGAGGGTCTCTCAAGAGTTTTCTTCAGCCCCACAGTTAAAAAGCATCAAATATACAGGGTGACAATATATAGCTTTGACGTACTCTTCCCAATTTTGTACCAGTGGTTCTGTGTCCAGTTCTAACTGTTCAGCCTGGTTTAGTCACTAAGTTGTGTCCAACTCTTGTGACCTCATGGACTGTAGTCCACCAGGCTCCTTGGTCATGGAATTTCCCAGGCAAGAATACTGGAATGGGTTGTCATTTCCTTCTCCAGGGGATTTTCCTGACCCAGGGATTGAACCATCAGGGAAGCATAGAGCTCCTGAAATCCTTGGAATTTCCTAAGAAATGAGAGGTATCTTTTGTTATGTTAATGAGGACCACACCTAAGGATGGGGATTGGTTGCTAGGAGAAACAAGTGTGATTAGATGATTGGAACTTTCAGTCTCACCCTCCTGACTTCTGGGGAGAGGGAAGGGCCTAGAGGTTAAATCAGTTACATATGACTGGTGGCTTAATTACTCATGCCTGTGTAATGCTGCTGCTGCTGCTAAGTCGCTTCAGTCATGTCCGATTCTGTGCGACCCCATAGATGGCAGCTCACCAGGCTCCTCTGTCCATGGGATTTTCCAGGCAAAAGTGCTGGAGTGTGTTGCCATTGCCTTCTCCGGCCTGTGTAATGAATCCTCCAGTAAAAACCCAAAAGGAAGAGATTTGGAGAACTTGCAGGTTGATAAACACCTAAAAAGATTTGAGGAGGTGGCCTGGTGGAGAGCTTGGAAGCTCCATGCCTTTTCCCCATACCTTGCCTTATGCCTCTCTTCCATCTGGCTGTTTCCAAGTGACATACTCAGTTATATCTTGGTCCAACAGCAAGTAAAATGTTTTCTGAGTTCTGTGAGCCTCTCTAGCAAATTAATCGAACACACAGAGGGTTCTGTTGAAAACTCTCATCTTCTTTAGCCAATTGGCCAGAGGCACAGGTTAGTACAGCCTGGGCTCAGGGTTGCCCCCTGAAGTTTACCTGCTTTTGGGGGGGCAAAGGAAGGCAGCCTTGGAGGACCAAGCCCTTAACCTGTGGAATCCGATGCTATCTCCCTGTAGACAGGGAAACCCGGTCCCACCTGGTTAACAGAACCTGGTGACTAACAAGATTCTTGAGCTTATCTTACAGCAGAAAAGGAAACAGCTTGCTAAAAAAAAAAAAAAAGTTAATGTGTTCAGTGCACAGTGAGGCTAAATAAACTGAAACCTGGAAGTTTGGAGCAGCGAAAGGTTTATTGCAGGGCCAAGCAAAGAGAACGGGTAGCTTGTACTCAGAAACCCCAAACCCTCCAAAGATTTTTTTTTTGGGGGGGGGGTTGTTTATAGACAATATAGGGTGAAGGCTGCAGGATGTGTGACTTTCACGTCAGAGGGCTGGAAACTCCACCCTCAGATCCTGCTGATGCCTCCACCTTTGAGCAGGCATCTCATGAAGAAGCACGTAACTTGGATATCCTGTGCAGAACACCAGTTACTTCATCTTTTTCCCACCTCTGACCAGCCACCCATCCCAGTGCCTAAGGCCACCCTGCTTCTTTATCCCATAAATATCCCAAGCCCCTTGCCTTTGGGGAGGCGGATCAGAGACTTGTTCTGCCATCTCCTCACTTGGCTGCTCTGTGAATAACTCTTTATTCACAACAAACTCTCTTTGTTGCAGACCCCTGGTTTGGTAACAGTAGGGTCAGAATTCAGTTGAATTGTAGGCCACCCAGCTGGTATCTGAAAAATTGGGTTGGTGGTAGAGACCTCCACCCACTGGAATTGTTGCAGAACTTTAGAGGACCTCCCGGAGAGGGTACACTGAACAAAGACCTGAGACGGGGAGAGAGGGAGCCCTGGGGACAAGTGTCCCAGGAGAGAAAACAGCAAATGCAAAGGCCCTCATCTGAGGCTGGAATATGCAGGATCCATTCAAGGAGCACGAGGACAGGGCAGTTTAGCTGGAATACAGGGAGCCACAAGGTGAATGATGAGGGAGGTCAAGGCACTACCAGGAGGCTGGATGCATGTGGCCTTGGGGACAGTTACCAGGACTCTGGCTTTTATACTGAGTGAGGTGGTGTTTGGGGCTCCGGATTCTGTGTTTTCAGTAAGCTTCCCAAGGCAAATCTACCTGTAATAGTGTTTGAGGATTCAATGAGAAGACAGAGGCAGAAAGGAAGCCCCTTCTTTAGGACAATTTATCCAGAAGGGAGGTCCTAGTATTGCTGCCCTCTGCTGAGGAATGTCCTAGAAGCAGAAACAGTCAAAACTGACACACAAAAACTACTCGCCCTTGAGGTGGCACTAGTAAAGAACCTGCTTGCCAATGTAGGGAACATGAGAGACTCGGGTTTGATCCCTGGGTCGGGAAGATCCCCTGGAGGAGGAAATAGCAACCCACTCCAGTATTCTTGCCTGGAGAATCTCATGGACAGAGGAGCCTGGCAGGTTACAGCCCTTAGGGTCGCAGAGAGTCAGACATGACTGAAGGGACTGAGTATACTCACTTGAATTAATGTGGGTTAAAAAGTACCTACTTAAAAATGCACACCCCTCTGGGCAGGGTTAATGATTACTTTCTTCTTGATAGTTTAGCTGAGAATAGCACTAAGAATTGGGAAGGTTGAGAAGGGAGGAGGAATCAGCTGTTTGATTTTATGTGAGATTTGCACATTTCAGCGAGAAGGGAGGAGGGTATGGTGAAAAGAAAGGCAAAGGGGAGCAGGTCATCTGGAAGGGTATTGTCCAGGTGACTGGCCAGGGAAAGAGTGGCCTCCACTGGGCCCCTTCACCCCCTCTTCACTGATCCCAGTGTTAAACATACTGTCCCAAGGGAGGCATCTAAATTTCACTTAGAGCCCATACTATCCAACAGTGTGCTCTGCCTGGCGCCGAGCTTGGTCCTTAGACTTCTGAGGCTATTGAACAGTCAACCACAAACTGAGGAGACAGATACATATCCTCTCACAGTTTAAGCCCGATGTTCAGAATCAGGGTGCTGGCAGGTTGATTCTTTCGGGAGACTGGGAAAATCTTCAGGCCTGTTTCCAGCTTCTGGTGGTTGCCAACAGTCCTTGGCCTTTGTCTACTAGTAGATGCTCATTCAGCCTTCACTAAAATCAACCTCCTTTGTCTCTGTGTTCTCTCCTCTTGTAAAGATACAAGTCCCAAGCTCAGTCCTTGGCCTTTGTCTACTAGTAGATGCTCATTCAGCCTTCACTAAAATCAACCTCCTTTGTCTCTGTGTTCTCTCCTCTTGTAAAGATACAAGTCCCAAGCTCTAGGGGCCATGTTTGCTCACATCCTTTGCCACAGGCTGCACTCTGTATAACTGTCAGTAATTAACACTTGAAATTCAAAGGCACTCTAGGACTGACTGGTGTGAGTGGAAGGGCAGACTGTAGTCTGCTGGCTGGTTTCTTAGGCACACCTGCCTCCACCACATTTTAAATGTCAGCGCAGTGGTTTCCCCTCTAATCCTACACTGCTTCTCCCACACCACATGGCTGGGCTGGGGGTGCCAGACAGGTCCCAGAAGTGTGCTCATCCCATTGCTGCTGTTGTCATTGTAACATTTTCCCAGTGGGAGCAGCCCTTACCATGGAGAGAATCCCTCCAGTCACTGAAACGTGTTTTTATAATACATCATGCAGTACCAGTTACAACCACTAGGTGTGTGGCAGGTCCTTGTTTCAAGGGCACAGTTGGGTGAACAAAGTTGACAGGATTGTTACAGCAACACTATAACCTGAAGATGTGCCAAGAGTGGCAAGGGATAGGGATTTCACTGGTGGCCCAGTGGCTAAAACTAGGATCCCAATGCAGGGGGCAGGGATCCCATCCCAGGTCTGGGGAACTGAGATCCACATGCTGCGCAGCTGGATAAAAAGAGTGATGCAGGACCCCTAACAAATCTGGGTGAGGGTGAGAAGTCTAAGGCTGTGTAAAGTAATTAGCCTCCAACTAATAAAAATAAAGGGGAAAAAAAAAGAGAAGTCTAAGGCTGGATGTCCTCCACTTGCCCAGACAGGTGGGGCCGCGGTGCTGCCCTGTGATACACAAGACAGATGGAATCAAAAGTGGCTTCTCATTAGGAACTTAGGTGAAAGTATTTTGACTGCCTGAGGAACTGAAGGCTGAACCTATCCCATGGATTTGTCTCCAAGTGGACTAGATCCGGAGATCTGGCTTCTAGCAGCACCCAGGGATGGGTATCACCAGGAACTAAAATATGCTATTCAATTGGGTATTTACGTCTTTGAGATACTCAAATTCTTTCATTATTCAACACTCCATTCATGGATATAAGTTCCTTACTCAGTTTTATGTTTAGCCCTGTCCTCTTACTGAAGATATTTTTCTGCAAGTTGCATAACATATAATTAAATCTTTTGAATATATTTTTCCTTTAAGTAATTTTGGCTTGTTCATTAATTGAGATTATATATTTATATATATATTTACACATGAGTTTCTCACACACACATAGACCTTGTGTATACCTTCTTATCTGAGTAGATATATTCATTTGGGTTCACCAACACTCCACTCATAGAGACATAAAACATCATTCAATGTGGCAGCTTGTTTCCGCAGACACCCAGCAACCCATTCATAGGGAAGAAACCTTTCAGTCTTGTTTCTAAATCTTCCTATTAATAGGGACAGTTACTTGTATTCTAATACTCCAGATACATGACTTGTGTTCACAAACACTTCATTCATCGATACAAACACATCACTCATTCTGATTAGATACACTTGTCATTACACCAACATTCAATTCAGAGATAAGTAAGCAATCATTCAGCTATACTCCTGAGTAGATATATTCATTTCCATTTTAGCCACATTTTATTCCAGATTCATAGTGTGTGTTATATAGATGTTTCCTTTCAGTAGACAGTTTCTTTTTTTCTTTTTGGCTGCACTTTTTGTGGGACCTTAGTCCCCTGACCAGGGATTGAACCCAGGCTTCTTGCAGTGAAAGCACGGGGTCCTAACGCATGAACCATTAGGGAATTCCTGACACCTTTTTTGTTTTCTACCAACATGCCACTTAGACATATTTTCTATCACTCACTTTTGTGTATAAATCCTTCCTTTTAGTAGATACACTCATTTAGATTGACAAACCATTCATGGAGATATAAAAGATATATTCAAGTATGTATATAGAAATTTCTCTTATGTTGAAATATTTTGTTCTATATTCTATTTTCCTTTTATAACTATAGATAACATAGCATATAGCTGAGTTGGGTGTGTATAGCTGTTCCCACTCTACAGTAGTTTATTCCAAGAGATACTAATCATTCTTGCATTCAGATATTTCCTCAGTAAATTGTTTTATATAAACTGTCCATTCATAGATGTTAATATATTTCATATCATTCCGTGTTGATTATAGCTCTTTTAGATATATTTTTGTTATAGTCACGTAAGTATAAAATTCAATTTTTAGTTATACCTTTTTATGTGTTTTGGCAACCATTCACTCGTAGACATGTTATATACAGATTCAATTTTATCACTCCTTCAGTAAAGACAGGCTTCCCTGATAACTCAGTTGGTAAAGAATCCGCCTGCAATGCTGGAAACGTGGGTTCAATCCCTGGGTTGGGAAGATTCCCTGGAGAAGGGAAAGGTTACCCACTCCTGTATTCTGTCCTGGAGAATTCCACAAAGAGTCGGACATGACTGAGCAACTTTTACTTTCAATAAAGACATTGTTTTTTTGTTATACAAAGACCCAGTTTCTGGAGACACACATTAATCTTTTGAATAGCTTTTTATGGAGAGATATATTAATTTGTGTTCTATCCATAGTCCAGACCATAGATGTCAGGTTCTGTGTTCTTACCATAAAAACACCAAAAACAACCCAAAGGGGCACAAGGAAACTTGGAGGTGATGTTTATTACCATGACTGTTGTGATCATTCACAGGTGTGTGCTTATGTTCAAACCCACTTAATTATATACATTAAACGTGCATTTTGTGTAAATATATACTTCAATAAAGCTGTTAAAAATTTCTACCTTCTATTTTTTAATGTAAGAAAATATAAAATTACATAGATGCTTACACTGTGTTTATATTGAACTGCTCTGCTCTACATGGACAGATAGATGTTTTGACAGTCACTGCCTGCTGAAAGCAGGATGCAGAGAACCTGGGGTTAAACACCTTCCCCTGAATATCCTTTTATTTGTCAGCATATGATTTTTAAAGAATAAACATACTGAAAGTCACCTTCAGTAGTTATACTAGAGCAACTGAGAAAGTCTGCCTTCTGAGTGGCCAGGTCTTGATTGAGAGCTCTGACAACCATGAAAAACTCCAGAGTAATAACTATTAATAGCCTCACCAGAACGACATCTTGTTTTAATCTGATAGCGGTCTTGACCCAAAAGACCTGCGTCAGGTTAAACGATGTCCAGCTTCACTTTGATGTTCATAGCTGCCAGTTCAGCTACAAAATACCGAAAGACGTAAGGCACGGAGATGGTGTCGATGGTGTCACTGCGGTTACACAGGGCACAGCTGTACTTCCTGTTGCGCAGGGCGGACCACGATGGGGGCGGCTTCTCCAACAGCGGGGAGAGCAGACTGCCACACTTCACGCACACGTGGGCCACTGACCGATCCGAGCAGTTGAAGAGGCGGTCGTGGAGGAGAAAAGATGTACCATGAGCTAAAAGGGCGTCCCGCTCCATCTCCCCAAAACGGATTCCACCCTGGACGTTTCTCCCCCCTATAGGCTGGTTAGTGACTTTGTCTCGGGCTCCTGTGGTCCTCACTTGGAATTTGTCGGAGACCATGTGGCGTAAACGCTGGTAATACACCACGCCTATGAAGATGTCTGCTTCTAGCTCCAGCCCACTAATGCCGCTGTACAACCTCTCGGTGCCATAGTAGTTGTAGCCAGCGGCCTTCAGCATCTCGCCAAAGTATTCCAGGGCTGAGTTCTCCTCTGAGAAGGTGAAAGGGGTCGCGTCGTGGCAGAGCCCGTGCAGAGCTGCGGACTTGCCAGCCATGCTCTCGATCAGCATGCCTATGGTCATGCGAGATGGAAAACCATGGGGGTTGAACAGAATGTCAGGGACCATCCCGCTCTCGGTGAATGGCATGTCCTCCACTGGCCACAGCCTACTCAAGATGCCCTTCTGCCCGTGACGACTGGCGAACTTATCCCCAATTGTTGGGTTCCGGGGGACTCGCATCGTGATGCACACACACTTGAACTTGCCATTTCCGGTATCATTGCTGCACACTTTGATGTTATCCACAACACAGTTTTCTTTACTCCTAGGAAAAAGTAAACCGGACAGAATGTCAAAATATGTTAAAATGAATAGAGGGTGCCTTAGAATGTGACTGTTTTGGACACTGGGGCTTTAAAAAGATAATAGAAGTTAATAATGAGGCCATTAGGCTGGTCCCTCCCGAATGCAAGTAAGAAGAGGAAATTTGGATACAAGGAGAGACAAGAGAGGCACACGTGCACAGGAAAAAATACCATGTGCGGACAAGAAGAAGGCGGCCACTTGCAAGCTAAGAGGCCTTGGGAAACCAAACCTGCCTTCACCTTGATCTGGGACTCTGACCCTTCACAACTGTGAGAAAATAAATTTCTGTTGTTTAATAAATAAATGTCCAGAGATACTTTTATTGATATATTAATATTTAGTGCTTCATATGGATATTTGCAAAAATCATTCTTACTTCTATTCTTCACTACAAATAGAGCTGGTATCCCTAAAAATACTTATGGACAGGGCTATTGATTATATTCACTACAGAACTGTGATTGTCTGAAAGAACAGTACCAAGAAAGGCAGCTAAGACCTAAAAAATCCAGTTTTAGTAAGAGGGATAATGAATTCAACTTTTTAGCTAAGACACATTATTAACAACATGTCTGAGAGAGATGATCAAGTTTGAATAATAACAGTTGTAAAATAAATCACAGATAACTCATCAGATGTAACAGACTGACAAGAAAAGTAGGAAAACAAAGGCAGTACAACACACCACAGAACTTCATCTCATATAAGAAATGTCCATTCAGTTAATAACTAAGCTACCCCTTTTATTTACTCCAAAAATTCTCCTGTTGAAAAACAACATTCACTGACTTCCAGAGATTTCACTGAGAAATAGTCCATAAGAAATAGCCCCGGGTATGCAAACTTACTTATAGTACATCACAAAGCTTTCCCCGGTGTTGAGGTTTAGGTAGCTGTAATATGGATCTCCATACTTCAGTTGTGCTCCAATAAATGGCAATCCATCATCATCCAACTTCTGCAGAACCCGTGGGTCTCCAGGTTTGACTCCAAAGACCAGACTATCATCTCCTTGTTTAATTTTTTCAGACAGATCTATGAATTCAGACTTGTAGACACTCCCATGGGCAAAGCCTCGTTCCCAAGAGGCCTTATTCACAATCTGTGAAGTCAGAGGATCATTAATTTAACAGACTGAGGCCAAGTAAGGGTTTTCAAAATGAAGCTGGTTAGCATTATAACTGGTTTAGGATAACTGGCATTTTATTTATTTATTTTTGGCATTTGATTTTAAAACTCCACATCTCCCAAATCACCTATGCTAACTATTAAAATTCAGACACATATAGATGGCTTAGAACCCAATCATGCATAAATATAAAAAGTAGATCTTTCTAAGACTACTTTACATTCATTTGACATCTACTTGTACTGTGCACTCAAATATGCAGGCTATATGCATATGAAATATCAAAGCTTGTCACTTTTTTACAGGGTGGGAGGCCTTGCTGAGCATCATATGGGATCTTAGGTCCCCAACCAGGGATGGAACCGGTGCCCTCAACACTGGGAGGACGGAGTCTTAACCAGTGAACCGCCAGGGAAGTCCCCTTGTCACTTTTAACTTAGACCAGGCATTAATTAATAGAACATTCATACACCAAATACTAAGTGCTCGGGCACATAAGAAATACTTCTTCAGTGACCTGACAGTAAACAGAGAAGTTAAAAATGAGAAAGGGTGGAAGTACATCTCTTGGCAGCACCTACCATGGCATCTTCCATATCGTAGCCAGTGTAAGAGATAACAGCAACAATGGCATTTGTTCCAATTGGATAGTTATCCATGTCATAATAATCATACATGTATGGTCTTACTAAAGGGCTCTGTGGAGTCTGAAGACGATATAGCTTATTATCTGATCGATCTTGAAAAGTAAGAAGTGGAAAGCCCATGGTCTGCTTACCTACACAGGGAAAAAAAATTAACATTTTGTTTTTTTCCCCCTTGATGTTAAAGATAACATATAAAACTGGAAACTAAACATTCATCGTAAGGGTATGAATAAATGAGTAAGTCATGCTGGTTATGTTTACTACAGACTAATACCTGGTGTGAAAGTGAAGTAGACAAATGTGTATGACCATGACCCAACCATGAAAACAATGCTGAGTGAGAAAAAGTAGGGAATGACATTTACTAGGGTATCCTAGTACATTCGTGTACATTTGCCATACAATCTGAACAGTTCTAGAACTAGTTTATGGAAATGTGTAATGTAAAAAAGCATAAAAAGAATTTAAAGGATACATACAAAACTACGGGATATTACTACTACTGGTGGGAGAGGGGTGATAGTAACTATTATATAATTAGATTACTTTATTGCACAGACATCCACCTACCCACACACACATACAGAGCAAAATGTCAGCATTTGTTAACTGGGTAGTCAGGTACGGGATAGATAAGTTTCTTTTTTGTAGTTCCTTACAGTACAGAGAATCAATTCAAAACAAAATGACTTTAAAAACTAAAATAGATAAATATATAATAGGGGAACTTTTAAAAAACAGAAAAGGAGATTTGCAGCTTCCAGTAAGAGAGGGCTACTCCTACAATATCACTCTCAACATGTATAAGTAAAAGATCCAGAAGAAAAATGAAAGCCAATTACATACATACACATACTAGCTGAAAGCACTGGAATGTAATGTCGCTCAGTGGAGTCTGACTCTTTGCAACCCCGTGGACTGGAGCCTACCAGGCTCCTCCATCCATGGGATTCTCCAGGCAAGAATATTGGAGTGGGTTGCCATTTCCTTCTCCAGGGGAATCTTCCCGACCCAGGGATTGAACCCGGGTCTCCCACATTGCAGGCAGACACTTTAACCTCTGAGCCACCAGGGAAGCCCTGGAACGTAACCACAAGTAGTTACAAACTAGAGAGGGATTAACACTTGGACAAAAGGAACTGCGATGAGTGAACTTCCAGTTTTCTCAGTTTTGAATGTTTTGTTTTTTATGTTTTGTCTGATGGCCCAGTCAGAACAGCAGTCCAAATCTTTGGTGGACTCCAGAACTATGCAGGGTGGGACAGACATAAACAGTCCGGCTAAGGCTAGGCTAAAGAGCACATTTCAACCACTGGAAGCTTGCTTCCAGAAATCTAAAAACCAGCCCTCTCCAGAGGAACAGAATAGAATCCACTTTTTTTGTTTTCCTTTGACTACACGGCTTGCAGGGTCTTAGTTCTTCACCTAGGGATTGAACCTGGGCCCCAGAAGTGAAGGCACTGGGTCCTAACCATTGGACCACCACGGAATCCCAGTCTTTACCACATATTTTCCATCTACAATACAATCCAGTATTACTAGCTATGCAGAGAAACAGGAAAACATGACCTAGACTCAAGAAAGATGCAATCAGTGGAGACTGATCCTGAGATGATCCAAATGTTGGAATTGGCAGGTAATGACTTTAAAATACCTGTTACAACTGTGCTCAAAATGTAATGGAAAATACTTCCACAATAAATGGAGATGAGAATCTCAGATAAAATAGGAACTATAAAAATGAAACAAATGGAAGCTCTAGGCTAAAAAATTTAAGTATCTGAAATAAAAATTCAGTAATGACAGAAAAGTCAGTGAATATGGCAAATCAATAAAATGACCCAATATGAAGGAGAAAGAAAGAAAAAAGATGGAAAAAGGGAACAGAAATTCAACGACTTATGGGACAATATTAACAACTTATTGACTGGAGACATATTAGTATGTCTTTTGTTACCCAAATGTTATTTACCAGAGACATTTCAATATTAACTTACATAACAAATCATCGGCCACACGCCTTAGTTTCTGCAAAAGTCCTCTGGTCAATAATGTGTTAAAAGGCTTAACATATATGATGCATAACAGACATCTCAGGACATGAGACAGAAACAGTATTTCTAGAAATAATGACAGAATATCTTACAGATTTGACTTAATTTTTTAAAACAAGTTTAGGAAGATCAGCAAACTCCAAGCAAGATAAATACAAACAGCAACATATTTAGGCATATCACAGTCAGTCAGCTTACATACCAAAAATAATGGGAAAATCTTAAGGACAGAAGAAAAATAAATAACACTATAATCAAGCAAACAATAATACACATAACCACTGACTTCTAATTAGAAATGACAAAGATCAAACAGAGCATAACAACATCTTTTAAGGGCTGGGGGTGGGGGGAACCCCAAAGATCTGTCAAATCAGAATTATATATCCCGTCTCTGCAAGTGAAGATGAAATAAACACATCCTCAGAAATGAAAACTAAGAGAATCTGCAGCCAGCAGCCTGCAGCTACAAAAAATGTTAAAGAGAAGTTGTTCAGGCTGAAATGACACTCCATGAAAACCTGAATCACCAGGCACAAATGAAAGCACTAGAGATGATAATGACGGGTGACCACATGGTTTGTACTCTTAACAAATCTAATCACAGGACCTCAGGCAAAACCAAACTGATGGACATTCTACAAAATAAATTTATCTTTTTCTTAAAAATAAGGTAAGACAGACAGTTAAGGCTAAAGATCTAACTTAAAGAACTAAAGAGACAAGAGAACTGAATACAACATGGTGCTACCCAGGGAAAAATTTCCACAAACTTTATTATGCTATAAAATAATATAATAATATTATTGTTAAATTTCCCAATTTTAGTAATTGTCCTTGGTTATGTAAGTAATCATGGTAATCCAAGTCTATGCCCCAACCAGTAACGCTGAAGAAGCTGAAGTTGAACAGTTCTATGAAGACCTACAAGACCTTTGAGAACTAACACCCAAAAAAGATGTCCTTTTCATTATAGGGGACTGGAATGCAAAAGTAGGAAGTCAAGAAACACCTGGAATAACTCAAAGGCAAATTTGGCCTTGGAGTACAGAATGAAGCAGGGCAAAGGTTAACAGAGTTCTGCCAAGAGAATGCACTGGTCATAGCAAACACCCTCTTCCAACAACACAGAAGATGCTGCACATGGACATCACCAATGGTCAACACCAAAATCAGACTGATTATACTCTTTGCAGCCAAAAATGGAGAAGCTCTATACAGTCAGCAAAAACAAGACCGGGAGTGGACTGTGGCTTAGATCATGAACTCCTTATTGCCAAATTCAGACTGAAATTGAAGAAAGTGGTGAAAACCACTAGACCATTCAGGTATGACCTAAATTAAATCCCTTATGACTATACAGTAGAAGGTATAGATTTAAGGGACTAGATCTGATAGAGTATATAGATGAACTATGGATGGAGGTTTGTGACACTGTACAGGAGACGGGGAGCAAGACCATCCCCAAGAAAAAGAAGTGCAAAACAGCAAAATGGTTGTCTGAGGAGGCCTTACAAATAGCTGTGAAAAGAAGAGAAGCCAAAAGCAAAGGAGAAAAGGAAAGATAAACCCATTTGAATGCAGAGTTCCAAAGAATAGCAAGGAAAGATAAGAAAGCCTTCCTCAGCGATCAATGCAAAGAAATAGAGGAAAACAATAGAATAGAAAAGACTAGCGATCTCTTCAAGAAAATTAGAGATACCAAGGGAATAATATTTCATGCAAAGATGGGCTCAATAAAGGCCAGAAATGGTATGGACCTAACACAAGCAGAAGATATTAAGAAGAGGTGGCAAGAATGCACAGAAGAACTGTACAAAAAAGATCTTCACGACCCAGATAATCACGAAGATGTGATCACTCACACTCACCTAGAGCCGGACATCCTGGAATGTGAAGTCAGGAAGCATCACTATGAACAAAGCTAGTGGAGGTGATGGAATTCCAGTTGAGTTATTTCAAATTCTAAAAGATGATGCTGTGAAAGTGCTACATTCAATATGACAACATTCAGAAAACTAAGATCATGGCATCCAGTCCCATCACTTCATGGCAAATAGATGGGGAAACAGTGGAAACAGTGGCTGATTTTATTTTGGGGGGCTCCAAAATCATTGCAGATGGTGATTGCAGCCATGAAATTAAAAGACGCTTACTCCTTGGAAGGATAGTTGGATGGCATCACCGACACAATGGACATGGGTTTGGTTGGACTCTGGGAGTTGGTGATGGACAGGGAGGCCTAGCGTGCTGGTTCATGGGGTCGCAGAGTCGGACACGACTGAGCAACTGAACCGAACTATGTAAGTAGACCACCCTGTTGTTAGGAAATACATAGCAGGATGTTCAGGGGGTAAAGAAGCAGCTCACTTTCCAATAGGAAGCAGTGCAAGTGAGGCAAAATCTAGGTAAAGGGTCTATGGAAGTTCTTTGTACAATTCTTATAACTTTTAGCTTTTCTCTGAGTTTGAAGTTATGTTTATCTCAGTGTTAAAAACTGCAGTCCATTTTCTTTTGTGACCACCACCACTCTGTGCTCCGTCTTACCCATCTGGCACTGGTACATGTTTCTCGGACTCTGGTTGTGATCTGAGAAAGGGATGAAGTTGGCGATCACACTCAGCAGGCTGTGAGGGAAGAGCTCCTGGTGCGTGGTGACTCCGGCCAGAACCTCATCCTCGAAGATGGCAACATTCATGAAGAGCTGGAAAGAGGAAGGACCAGGAAGTTCAAGGCACAAGGTAACTGTGACTGCTAACATGTATTAACTCTTACTATTGATCAGAGTTTAAGAAAACCTTCCCACCCACCCAGTATCATGAACACTGAAGGGATGCACAGTAAGAAATAACACGTCTTAAACATTTCATTCTAAATCTACCCTGGTCCAGCTATGAAGGGAGATAGGAAGGAGGAAAAATGTTTTATAAGTAGCACAAAGTCTAGAGTTTTGCAACTACAGAGATGTAAGCAAAGATTGTGAGTGATTTTAGTGGAATGTTCCAGTCTCACCACCCAAGGCAGAGCCGGGTGCAAAGAAACTTGGGGAGCTGAGTGGGGTGGGAAAGATAGCTAAGGTGACCACCAACCCTCTCAGGTTTGATGAGCATGAAAACTGCTTCATGTTGATCACAGAGGAAGCAAAAATAAATTGTGACTTTCTTTCAAATGCCTGTCATGATAACTGTAATACTTTAACAGTTATTGAGTCTCTGAAAATTGCATATTATATAATCACAGGGGTCTATGTACCTGTTCCATAGTTCCAATCAGTTCTTCTTTGCCTAGTTCCAAGTTCTGCACTGGCCGCACCAGTCGACAAGGAGTGGTAAAAAGATACAATCCTGGGTATAGACTTGGTTTTCCTGTCATGGGGATCAGGGCCACCTCCATCCAGGGAGGGATTTTTTTTTCTCTCAACACCTGTTTTCAGTAAAAAGAGAGTTCAGTGAAGAATAAGTGACGTCTATCCCCCTGCCACCTAGGAGGTGGGTACAGTGGAGGAGATCTAACATGAAAAGCAATATCTTGCAAGTTTTGCAGGTAACACACCTAGTACCCTGCCAGCCTCAGCCTCCCACAGATGGCTATTCACCCCACATTGACAGCTGGCAAAAGCCCTACTCTCTTGGGGACTCAATCTCACTATCAGGGAAACTAGTAACAACTGAGACTGAGCAAAAGGTAAACCAAGAATGTGTGGGTAAACATAGTAAGTGAAATTCTATTGGCTGATGTCTAAAATATAAGATCACCTGTGTTATTTTAAAATGTATTCAATGAAAAAGCCCTTCCACTTGGCAATTAAAAAACAAACAAAAAAATCTTCTATGAACACTTGGGTGAAAGGAGAAATACTAAAATCATAGAAATGTGGAAAAAAAATGAAATCTGTACAGTAGAACTTATGGCAATAAGTATAACATATATTTAAGTATATATAATACTTAAATATATAAGTAGAACTTATATATTTACAGTTAAATATATTATTAACAAAATGAAAGAATAAAAATAAATGAATTCTTAGCCCAAAAGGTAAAACAACAAAGTACAAGAAATCAAAGATAAAATCTTAAATTAAAGAAGCAGAGTACAGAAAAAGGTTCAAAGTAATAAAACATTTTTAGTTCTTTTGATGTAATTGAGAAGGGGATGGGTATTCTTTTTCCTTGCGGGGAAAGCAAGGTTATGAATATACTGAGTAAAAAAAGGCAAAGGGGGGAAAAGCATGGAAACAAAATTTTAAAACCCATAAGCCTGCTTTGCATATCTCTGAAACCAAGATGAAACAGATAAAATGCAGGTGACCAGAACAGACCTCAGCAGAGTAGAAAGCTTCAAGACCAACTTCTGTATTAGACATAAAGGTATCAAGGAGCTGCCCCAAAGAGCGCACTAGAGCTAGATGGCCTCACAGGTGAATTCTAGAAGATCTAAGACCAGAGGACTCACTGCTGCACAAACTGCTTCAGAGCACTGAACACCAAGGAAAACTTTCTAACACTTTTTATCAAGCAGAAATCTGTGAATGTCGATTTTTAAAAAAATCTTAAAATTGAGAAAGTATCCGTATTTATTAGGTATTAAAATAATAACCAACTGGGATTTATTCCAGGAATGGAAGGTTATTCATCTTTATTATTAAAGAATGACCTTTGTCAGGGAATGAATATAATACTTTTAATATGTCTAAGGAGAAAAATCTCACAATTTTTTTTCCCATAGGCGAGGTATACACACAAAAGAATCGTGCGTGGGGACTAAAGAACACAATCTCAAAGTGATCAGGTAACAGCAGCAGCCAGGAGCCCAGCCTACAGTAAGTGCCTCCTGAAATGATATCCTGAGTCTCATCATAAGAAAGCTACATACATCAAGAGACAGTGTACACAATTTGGCCCATACTCTTTAAAAACAAAAAAGTGAGACATTAAAGGCTGAGGAACTGTCTTAGATTAAGGGAGATCGAAGAAACATGCCAACCACATGTAACATGGGATTCTAGACTGGGTCCCAGACAAAAAAAATCTGAGTATCAGCTACAGACTTCACCAACCTGAGATTTTTTTAAGTGCATTGTGGTTAATAAAGAGAAAATCCTTGTTCTTAGAAAATATACATTGAAATCTTCATGGAAAAGTGGACATGTCTGTACACTGCCTTCAAATGGTTTGGAAATAAAATGTACCTAGTATTTATAGAGTATACAAATGATAAAGCACATGGGGGAAAACATAGCAACTGCTGTATCTGGGTAATGGGCATATGTGAGCTCTATGCTGCTCAAACATGCTTTCAGTGTAAAACTATCAAAGTAAAACAATGAAAAAACTGAAAAACAAATAAAAAACCCAACTAAATAGGACAGAGCATAAACTACAAATTCATCCTACTGCCAAACTCATGGCCATTATCTAAGCAACAAAGACTCTTTCCCACAGAGAATTCTAAAGATTAGTTATTCAAAGAATGTTATTCTATTTGACTTTTTAAAAAAGTATTTCAAGAAACAGAAGGCAACCAGTTATGACTTCTACCTTGATTAGCTTCAGTATTACTTGAAATATAAGTCCATGTTTTGAGATCCCCTATTTGCCACTAGTAATTACAAAGAGAAAAAAAAAAGTTAAAAATGTGTTAGAATAGTAGACTAGGGCTTCAATGAAACAAACCAAAAAAAAAAAAAAAAAAGCATGTAGCTCAAATACCTGTCATTGACCCTAAGCGATGAGGTCAGTGTAAGGCAAGATGCTGCCACCAGAAGGACCATATGGGCAATTCCAGAATTAGCTTCTGACTTCCAACCCCTTGACACTCAATAATATCCTAGGGCTACCTCAACAACTAGAAAAGACATGAAAACCTAAGATGGAGGGACAAAACAATTCACAGAGACTCAAGATCACCTTAAAACGTCGGAGAGAATCCGCAATGCCAGGGGCAATCTCCTTACTGGCCCAGCCAATCATGACGCCGTCCAGCAGGACAGGATAGCACTCACTGTACGGCCGATGTGGAGTTCCGTCAGCTGGAGTGACCCCTGGTGAAGTGAACAAGTGGAATGATCTCATCAGGATGCTTTCCCAACATTTAAAGTTCCCTTCAGATTCAACAACAGCTTTACCTTTCTAGACATCTAGTCACCTTGTCTCTAGACCAGAATGTTTTTATATTGCTTGAGGAAACATTTAAGTCTTTTACCAAGGACCTCCAGATCTAGGGTCTCTGGCTTTGAGGAGAGTAGTAGGGGGACAGGGGTATAAAGGAGGCTTTTTTCTGTATACCTTTTATATTTTTGTTTCTGAGCCAGGTAAACATATTAGCTTTTCCCCTAAAATCTAATTATATTTGCTCATTATTCACACATCACAAATTTGCCAACTTGCTAAAATGTATCTGTAACCCCAGCATCAATACTAGTGGCGCTTCTCGCATCATTTGAGGACATCTAGTGAAAATTTTTGAGTCACCAGAAACATGTTTCTGGCTAAGGTCACACAAGGGGATGCACAGTTTCAGCTCATACTGCAAACAAGGGTCCTTTCTGCACTGTTCAGCGCTGTATTTTTTGCATCTTTGTGCTTTTGCTGTCCTTCAAGCACAGTGCCAAAGTGCTGTCCCCTAAGCACAAGGCTCTGCTGAGCCTTATGAAAAAACTACATGTTAGATGAGCTTATAGTTACAGTGTAGTTAGCTGAAAGCTCAGTATTAATGAATCAACAATATATATTAAATAAGGCATCTTTAAACAGAAACATGCATAAAGCAAGGCTATCAACCCATCTGAAAATGCTGTCAGGAGAGGTATGCAGGAACCTAACCTCTTCTTCCCCAGGACCAATGACTCAGTGTCTGCTAATTCAGTGCTAGTGGTGACTTAGAGAAGTACTGCAAATAACAAGAATCTACTCTAGTTAAGTAAAGAACACTCATCCATGAGCCGTCAACACCCTCTGAAGACAGCAGGTGCTTTACAGAATGGCACAGGCTATCCACAGTATGACACCATCACCCTTATATGAATTCTCTGCTCAAACCCCAGAGAAGCACAACTTAATAGCTTTGCACCTGTAAAACCCACACAAGCAAACAAGACAGGCTGCTGACTGCTGCGCACCACCTACCCAAGTTGCAGAGTAGAGCCGGAATAGATGCTGTGTACACAGACTGTGTGACAACCTCACAGATGGCAGTTAGGTGGTTCATCAGACCACAGGGCTCCCCGTCAGGGGTGTGCACAGGACAAAGGAAGCCCCAGGACTCTGGCAGCAGCCTGCGCACGGTGGTGGTCCGCATTTTAGCAAAATCGGACCCTCTGTGCACACAGCGGAAATGGGAGAGATAGCGTATGAAGTTCAGCTTGTCGGCCACGACGCAAAGTCCAGAATCTTGTAGGAAGCCAAGACCTTAATAAAACAGACATCATTGAAAAATGGAATAAACTGAAAAAAAAAGAAAAAGAAAGAGCCTATTTTTATTGGAGGCTCTGAAAAGATAATAAAACCTCAGAACACATTCGAGATCATGCATGCTCGGTCACTGTGTCTAACTCTTTGGGACCCCGTGGACAGTAGCCTGCCAAGCTCCTCTGTCCATGAGATTTCCCAGGTAAGAATACTGGAGTGGGTTGCCATTTCCTTCTCAGGGGATCTTCCCGACTCAGGCATCAGCAGGCAGGTTCTTAATCACTGAGTCATCTGGGAAGCCCACACTAGAGATCACAGAGTGGGTTACCATAAAGTTTACTCAGCTGTGGTGAGGGGAAGAGATTACAAAAGAAAAAAATACAGTAAAAATCCCCAGATTTCAAACTGTATCAGCCTTGACTGTTTCCCCATCTTCTCCATATGATCTCTACAGAAAAACATAAATGAGTAACAAAACAGCAAGTAATTAAACGGGATTCATCCAAGATAGAGAGTTGTATAACACACAAGCACTTGTTAGCCCTTAAGGAATTTGCATCAGTATCATCTCCTTAAAAAAAAAACCAAAAACGATTTCTGGCCCTTCAATAACCACTTTGTAAAGTTTTCCGGTTGTTCTGATACGACTGGTTTAGAGGGATGGGTGTGTCTAAAAACCCTCCCAGACCACCACCTAGTTAACCCTTCCTCAGAGATCTAAGCTGTCTCCAGTTTTCTAGGAGGAGGCACGAGAAATGCATTTGATCATTAAAGTCAGATTTAAGCTATACAGACAACCTGTCTAAAGCCCTTCAGCCCAACATACACCTGTCAAAATTCACAACCTGAAATAGGTCTTTAATGAGTGAGCAGCTCACTGTTAAAAAGAACCTCTCTCGGGACTTCCCTGGCAGTCCAGGGTTAAGACTCCGAGCTTCCACTGCAGAGGGCACAGGTTTGACCCCTGGTCAGGGAACTAAGAACCCAGGTGTCATGTGGTGTGGCCAAAAAACCAAAACAAAACAAAACAAAAAAATCTCTCTCATGGTAATATACAAACTGACATTAAGCAAATAATTTGAAAATTGTAACAAAATGAAGCCCATATCTTTAATTTCACCTGTTTTAGAACGTAGATTCCCAGTAGCAAGAAGGTATTCAAATGGTTTTGTAAGGTCTAGTCCCAGACTAAAAATCTTCATCAAATTTTCACTGTTTAAGGTCACATTGGTCTTCTGAGACTTCTTGTCTATAGCTATTTTAATAGACACTAACCAAGCTTCCAATTTTTCCTGAAATAAGAAAAACAGTTTAATTTTTAGGTGTTTTAATTAACCACAAATTTCATATTTACTCAGTCCATGGAATTTTCCAGGCAAGAATACTGGAGTGGGTGCCACTTCCTGCTCCAGGGGATCTTCCCGACCCAGAGATCAAACCTATGTCTCGTGCACCTCCTGTATTGGCAGGCGCATTCTTTACCACTGCATCACCTGGGGAGCCCTAATTATTGATAACAGGAGATTTTTACTTCAGTCCTCTCCATCTTTCCGGTCATTATGTTATCTCTTAGATTAAATTATTTTTAGGGATGATATTAAAAATATAAAATACTATCCAATCAACTTTCTTATAAAATTATTATAACATTCTCTCCCTAGACACACAGACACTCAGAGTTTTCATTATTTACAGTAATCACGTCCTACAATGTCTCTGTGAACAATGCACAGAACCCTTGCTCCCAGAGGAAATGCAGGGTCAGATGTCAGTTGAGTTTTCATTTACTGACAACATCTTTGTCAACTGATCAACACATGACCTTGTTTTCTGTGTTTGTGAACAGACATCTTAGTTTACACTGTTGATTCTTGACCACTGAGCTCAGAGCAAACAGCATCATAACTCATGCCTGCACAAAGTGTGTCTAACACAAGTGTCTTCTCTATTAGGCAGGCATAATGCAGCCTTCTCGAGCTTAGGACCACAGAAAGGGACTTCCGCACTGAGCATGGGGGCCATTTTAAACAGCAAAATCACCAAAAAAAGCAGAAAAATGTGAAAACCATGGCACTGAGACACTTGTTCACTGCTCATCAGGACTGAGCTGGGCCTCGTGCCCCAGAAGACTAACTCTTCTGCACTCTGTGCATGTCTGCAAATGACACGAGTGTGCCGCAAGTACTTACATTGCTGGGTTATAAATAAATGTTAGTGAGTAGTTGAACTTAATAGTACAGAATCTGCGAATAATGGGGACTGACTACAGGTGAGTATATTGGCCATTTACACTTCATCATTAATGTTATGACCAAGATTTGACAGTTTTTATTTAGCATCTATAAAGATACTAAAGAAAGTCCTGAACCTACCATAAGCTAAGGCCTCTGATTAAGTCCCTTACTGCTGCGCTGCTGCTAAGTCGTTTCAGTCGTGTCCGACTCTGCGACCCCGTAGACAGCAGCCCACCAGGCTCCCCCATCCCTGGGATTCTCCAGGCAAGAACACTGGAGTGGGTTGCCATTTCCTTCTCCAAAGCAGGAAAGTGAAAAGTGAAAGTGGGGTGCCACTGCCTTCTCTGCCCTTACTGCTAAACAAACAAAAAATAGAAGGAAAAAAAAAAAACCACAACCCTACCAAAAAATGCTCAAACTAGAAATTATAAGCATGCAAGAAACAATACTGCTGAATATGGCCACACCATCCCACAAGAGGTAACGATGCTCCAGGGTGAAATAGCGTGCACTTACCTTCAGAAACATGAGGAAGAGCTGACCAGGAGTTAGAACTTCCTGGTTCACTAAACTGTCAGGATTCTCCTCCATGCACTCTCCTTTGGCTAAAGCAAAGAGCTTCCGGGTCATGAGACAAAGCACATAGAACTTCTCAGTGTTGGATTTCAGGTGGATACAGATACACTGGCTGCCGAAAGAGAAAACGTAAAACAATCCAGCTACTGATACTATTCGATGTCCTACTAACCAAGGTCCCTAATCCACATTTACCCCAGAGGTCTTCAGTCATTTTCCAAAAACTGCTTTTCACTTTTGCTGGCAACATTAGCAAAAGAACGGAACAGACTCACAAAATCTAGAACTGTAGGGATAGGCCATATGTGGCTATTTAAATTTAAATCAATTAAAATTAAATTAAAAAAAGAAAGACTCAGTTTCTCAGCTGAAATGGCCCTGAATGTGGCTTGTGGCTACAGATTGCTCAGTGGAGGACTACAGCAGGGCTCCTTTAACAATTACACAGTGAATACAGAAGACAAAGTCCTAGCCTTGGGGAAATAAACGGACACGATGCCTGCAGCTTTCAGATAATGCAGAAAGAAAAACGACGTATTTGCAGAAAAAGTAAGAAAGATGTTAATAAACTGGTGAGCTGGAAGTCTGAAGTTAATTCAACATAAAACCTTAAAAGTACAATATAAAGCAGGAAGCTAGCAGGAAGAGAAAGGTGAGGATGGCTGCAGGAACAAAGTTTGCCCCTATCTCGCTACACCAGAATCCCACCCCTAGGGCTATTCTGATTTCCAGATGACTCACCAGCCCCAAGTATATCCATACCCGTAACCACAGACACCCTCCAACCCCAAGAAACAGTTTCGCATACCTGAACAGAAACTCTGCAGCTTGTTCGTTCGGGTACCAGTCAGGAAGGCTGAGTTTCACTCTGAAGCGCTCCCCCAGATAGTTAAGGACCTGTTTTTGTGTGGAACATCCCTCTTCCATTACGATCCTTAACATCTGAGAAACCGAGTTCCTAAAGAAAGAGTCATCCTCCTTTCCTTTGATGAGCTCCTGAAAAATCTGATAATCGGAAAAGCTGACGAGTGCCTAGAGAAGAAAGAAAGAAAAAAAGATTATTTTTTTAAAAAGTTTAATTAAATTATTTTTATTATTTAATAAATTAAATTAATTAACTTATTTTAATTGGAGGTTAATTACTTTACAATACAGTGGTGGTTTTTGCCATACATTGACATGAATTAGTCACGGGTGTACATGTGTCCCCCCACATCCCGAACCCCACTCCTACCTCCCTCCCCATCCCATCCCTCTGGGTTGTCCCAGTGCACCGGCTTTGAGTGCCCTGTTTCATGCATCAAACTTGGACTGGTCATCTATTTCATATATGGTAATATACATACTTCAATGCTATTCTCTCAAATCATCCCACCCTTGTCGTCTCCCACAGAATCCGAAAGTCTGTTCTTTATATCTGTGTCTCTTTTGTTGTCTCGCATATAGGGTCATCATTGCCATCTTTCAAAATTCCATATATATGCAAACAGTTGTCTTCTCAAAATTGTTAACCATCTTTATCATTTAGTAATAGTTCTCTCCTATTTCTTTTTAAAACCCAAGAAAAATCAAGCCCTCTACTATTGCTGAATCTAAGCTAGCTCATCAAAATAAGGGTCACACTTGTATGGGAGACACCAAGATGTCCCAATGACCCTTCCCTCTTGGTACCCACAACCTTGGTCTCCTCTGCCTTGAAGAGGGCTGGCCTGTGTGACCAAGGGAGTATAGCAGAGAAGCTGAAATGTGACTCTCAAGGCTGGGTCGTGATGGGCACTGCAGCTCCAGCCTCATTCTCCTGGTGAACTCTCTGGGGAAGACAGGTGCCTCAAGAAGCCTGTGGAAAGGCCTGTGAAGAGGACCTGAAACCTCCTGCCAAGAGCCTGCACTGACTTGCCAGCCATGCTCGATCGACCTCAGAAGGGGATTCTGCAACCCCAGGCAATGCTTCTACACAAACAGCAGCCCTTACTGACATCTCATGGCAACCTGCTGAGACCCCGGCCAAAACTGCCCAAGTCAGGAGCTACTTCCAAATTTCTGACTACAGAAATAGAGAGAGAAATATTTAGTCATGTTTCAACCACTGCATTTTGAGGTAACTTGTTATGGAGCAGTGGATATTAGCATAGCATGAACGCTGATGATGACCTATCCATTTTGCATTTCCAACGATTCGCTTCCTAACAAAAGAAGTATTCTCAGTAAGTCACACCTTAAGTGCAAATCCCAAAGGAAGAAAAAACAGTTCTTTCCGGTAAATAAAGTTGAGCATGACCGTGCCATTCTCCAAGTAGTGAAGGTTCATGTTGACAGCGGAATGCTCCTCTCTCACGCAGTGCATTGAAACTCCTGTTGACACAAACAGAGTAAACGATCAGAAACTCCCAACACCACCATTAAGCATAGTAGCCACAGCTATCATTAGAGGCTGATTTTTAGCTCAGCTGTAAGAATAAACTGTTTAACTATAGGACTCCAGACTGCAAAATGCTATCTTGAGAAGCCAGGCCCTGTCATGGACAGTGATCAAGCAGAGGTCAGGTTGCTATCAGTCAGGGACCAAGGCGAATGCCATGGTCCCTGAACCGGAAGAATTCAGAGGTCCAGACCCACCTCTGGCCAAGTCAGCCAGCCTTCAGTATCATAAGCAATAACATAAGAGCCCATGTTCAGGGGCTTCCCTGATGGCGGTAAAGAATCTACCTGACAATGCAGGAGACATGGGTTTGATCCCTGAGATCAGGAAAGATCCCACATGCCACAGAGTAACTAAGCCTGTGAGCCACAGCTATTGAGCCCACATGCAGTAACTACTGAAGCCCATGGCACCCTAAGAGCCTGTGCAAAGTCACTGAAATAAGAACCCCATGCACTGCAACTGGAGAGGATCCCCCGCTTGCTGCAACTAGAGAAAAGCCTGTGTAGCAACGAAGACCCAGCACAATAAAGAATAAATAAATAAAAGTATTTCTTAAAAAAAAAAAAAATGTTTGTTCAGTTTGAAAAAAAAATTGAACACAGTAGAAAGTAGGTGTCCCACTATGAATTTATAGCACAGAACTGCTTGACAGAAAGACAAACCAAAAATTATATATATGAGAGAAAAATATCAGACTCTATGTGGAAACATCTACTTTTAATAAAATACCTTAAATATTTCTGAAAGAACATTCCAAAAATCCCTGCAACTTACCATACTGAGTGTAGCCAGGCCCTCTGCTTTTCCACTTTGGTCTTACCATTGCAATGGGGAAATTTCTGCGAGGCATAATCAACATTCGGATGACTTTTTCAATGCCATTGATGATAAAATAGCCTCCCATTTCCTGCCAAAGAGATGAATTAAAAATTTTTAAACAAAGACATGTAACTACCTGCAAATATGATACTGACCAAGGGCAAGTATTACCCTCATTCCTAACCAGATGTGCACAAGAAGTGCCCTTGCTCAAGAAGAACTGTGGGTCCCTGGGAAACTACTGACTTAATTAAATCTTCTCAGGCACATTAAAAAGGCTGTAGAGACTTGGGAGAAAAGTATGGAAGGAAATCATGGTACTTCCTTCGACCAGACAGGCTGGACATAACCTGCCACATTCTTATCCCTAAAATGATTAAACCGTTCAATGACATTAAAAACCAAAAACAATTTACTCCAAAGTCTAAAGTTGAAAACAGTAGTGGTTTTGCTTCCACACAAGTATGGTTTCTCAAATAAGTTTAAAAACTTTTGACCGTATGAAAGCTCTGGAAATCAGAAATTCAGATAAGCTAAATAGGAAAATATTTTTAATAAGTTCCAGTTAATAAAACATTTCTATAACATCACATAGGAGCTACTGTGAACTCAGCATGGGCTTCCCTGGTGGCTCATTGGTAAAGAATCCACCTGACAATGCAGGAGACACAAGATGTAAGAGATGTGGGTTTGATCCCTGGGTTGGGAATATTCCCTGGAGGAGGAAATGGCAACCTGCTCTAGTATTCTTGCCTGGGAAATCCCACAGACAGAGAAGCCTGGTGAGCTACAGTTCATGGGGTTGCAAGAGTCAGACACGACTGAGTCCGCATGTGCGTACATGCACACACACACACACACAGCAGGTATATCATGCTGGGTGCTCTACGTCAGCACACGTGGGAGAACTACATGCCATCTTCAAAAAAGAAAACTGAACCTCAGGGAGATTAAACTTCCCAAAGGTGCACAAGGGGAAAGTGGAACAGCTGGCTGTCAAGCCCAGATCTGCCACCAAAGGCCTCTTCCCACCACATAATACAGTCTCCCTGTTGTAGGCAGAGTCTGCACATCTTGATTACTTCAACCCAAGCCACCTAACAGAGCTGAAGGAAATGCTGAAGGGAGGGTTTATGAGGCATTTAGTACATCCACAGACTTCGACTATAGGTAAAGCAGACATATTAGACAAGTCTTGTGGGTTAAAATGTTGAGAGAGCTGTAAAAATTCAAATACATCTCTAAATATATATCATTCAGAAAATTAGGGAAAAACCTACCAATTACCCCTCACAAATAGCAATATTCTCTAACTGGAGAGTTCTTTTTTTTTTTTTCAAATCACAAATAATGCTTTTAAGAATTTAGCTTCTTATAGTACTCACAAAACAGAAACTGACAAATTCATCTTGTTGTCATTTAAACATTAAGACATGTCCAACTCTGTGACGCCATGGACTGTAGCCGGTCAGGCTCCCCTGGCCATGGGGTTTCCCAGGCAAGAATACTGGAGTGGGTTGCCATTTGCTCCTCCTCTTTTTCCTTTTTTTTTTGCTGATGCCACACAGCATGTGGGACTGAGCTCTCCCACCAGGGATTGAATCCACAGCCTTGAAGTGGAAGCATGAAGTCTCAACCACTGGACCATCAGGGAAGCCCCCAGAGTGTTCTTTTTCATACACTGTCTCATCTGAGACTTGCTAGGAAGCCTACATAGAGCAGAGACAAGACATCAAGGCCCTTGTTACCCATCTAGAAATTAAAGCAGAGAAAGAAAACTGAACTCGCTGACAAGCTTTCTGCTCCCGCACTCCCAGCTCCGGCCCTCTCTACGGTCGCCGGGTCTCTCAGGGCCGGGCTCCCCCGCAGGTACCTCTGCTTCCTCGCGGCGCTCGATGAGGGCTTTCGGAGGAAGGCTGTGTAAGTTGCAGAGCCTGGACTTCACCATGATGGGGACATAGCCCAGAAACTGCTTAATGACTCCTTTTGAGATCCCATTCACCGACCAGCTGATATCGGCCTAAATGCACATAGAGAGAGAGAAGTTAAAACAAAAGGGGACTATCTAGACCTGTAGGAAATGAGTGTTCTAGGGGATGGAGACAAGACGGATGGACTGGGAGATGCAAACTAGTACATTTAGAATGGATAAACAACAAGGTCCTACTCCATGGCACAGGGAACTATATTCAATATCCTGTGATAAACCACAATAGAATACTGAAAAAAAAAAAAGTATATAAAAAAAGAATACCTGAGTTATTTTAAAAGATTAAGGCAGAGGACCATAAAATAAATGATTTTATGCTTTAGGTTTATTTTTTTTTCCATTTATTTTTATTAGTTGGAAGCTAATTACTTTACAATATTGTAGTGGTTTTTGCCATACATTGACATGAATCAGCCATGGATTTACATGTGTTCCCCATCCTGAACCCCCCTCCCACCTCCCTCCCCATCCCATCCCTCTGGGTCATCCCAGTGCACCAGCCCCGAGCACTTGTTTCATGCATCCAACCTGGACTGGCGATCTGTTTCACACTTGATAATATACATGTTTCAATGCTGTTCTCTCAGATCATCCCACCCTCGCCTTCTCCCATAGAGTCCAAAAGTCTGTTTTATACATCTGTGTCTCTTTTTCTGTCTTGCATATAGGGTTATCATTACCATCTTTCTAAATTCCATATATATGCTATGCTTTAAGTTTAAAAGATGGGATCTCTCGGATGACAGCGCTGAGAAAGCCAAATTCTGGTATAAACCATATTAGGCACTGGGCTTATTCAAAAAAATGTACAGTGTGTGAGTCACATGCTGTCACTCATACTCACTGTCAGCTTTCCTCGGTAGGTGCTCCTCCGGCCTCGGCACTCTGCTGGATAAACGTTGAGCTCTTTGCAGATGCTCCCTTTGGGAACGGCTGGAGGACTGATGACAGCATCCACGATGGTGAGAGATATCCGCTCATCTTTGAAAGCAAATTCAAAGGGAGGGACAGCCTGAAATACAGTTGAGACAGTCAATTGCTTGCACTTTCAAGGCACTTTCTCTCGAAGACTTTCAAATCTCAAGTGTTCTACAAGCACTGATGGCTATCATGCTAATGTGACACATCTAAAAAGAGCCAACACTACATCTGGTCTACTCATATCCTCACTACCTAAAACAGCATTAAGAAGATCTTTTGGTCTACTGACTGTTGGATTCTATAACAGGTTCTAGGGATACAGCTGTTTACGGGACAAAGCTGTTCTCTGAACCAAGTACCTGACTTCAGTAGTGTGTATATGTTAATCCCAAACTCCTAATTTATCTCTGCTGCACATTTTTACTTTGTACCCTCTGTGTGCATATGTTGTTGTTCAGTTGCAAAGCAGTGTCCAACTCTTTGAGACCCCATGGATTGTAGTCCCATCAAGCTCTTCCTCAAGAATTCTGGAGTGGGTTGCCATTCCCTCCTCCAGGGGATCTTCCTGACCCAGGGATTGAACCTGGGTCTCCTGCATTGCAGGTTCTGAGCTACCACAGAACCCATTTGAGCACAAACGTTCCTTGATCATCTCAATGCTGGACTCTTTTTCATTGTTTTAATAAATCCCAGGGTCAATTAACTTATAAGCAGATTTACAATTTTTCTCATAGACATGATACAATGAGTTCAGGCATGATAGAAATTATTTCCCATCAGACAAAAATATCTCATCTTTTGCAAACGGCTGAAGCAGTATTAATCTTCGAAGAAGAAGCCTCGATGGCTCCCCCGTTATTTGCAGAAGAGAGTTCAAGCATCAGAGACTGGCGCAGCTTTCAAGATTCTCTCTACCCCTCCCGCAGAACAAGCCCTACCCAACAAAAGCATAGAGTAGAGACCCCTGAGCTGTGCTCCTATACTTCCCCTGGAAGGAACACACTTTTCTCTTGGATTCATGAGGTCCTGCCCTGGGTTAGCTGCACCTCTTTCCTCTGTGCCCCCGAAGTACCCTACATAGCCCCTTGGCAAGAGCATTGCTCCAGAGTACTGGCACTCACTGCCTTCACAGCTCCACCTGCTGCTGCTCCTAAGTCGCTTCAGTCGTGTCGGACTCTGTGCGACCCCATAGACGGCAGCCCACCAGGCTTCTCCGTCCCTGGGATTCTCCACGCAAGAATACCGGAGTAGGTTGCAATTTCCTTCTCCATCACAGCTCCACCACGTCCACCCAAAACACGATCGCAAGCAAGAACTGTCTCTTACACAGGTCTGCCTCTCCCTCACTGTCAGAGCCCAGTGACCGGAGACACTGGGATGCTTACTAAATGAGACCCTACCCCATTATTTTCACCTGAAGCCTGCTACCATCATCCTCTAGACCAATCACTTTAGTTTGGAGTAAATGTTACCTAATGATGTTAGCAATCTCTTAAGGAGGACCAAAGGTTTCCCACCGAATCTCGCTTTAATGCATCACTGGCACCTTCCTCAACATAGCCCGGCGCTGGGCCTGTGCCCCACTCCCCCGTCTCCTGGATCTCCCCCTCCCTCTTCCAGGCCCCCAGCCTCACTCACCTCTCCCTCTTTCTTCTCCAGCGCCTCACACACCCCGCATCCCATCCGCCGCCAGGCCCCTTTGCTCCACCCGCCTGTAGCAGGGGCTAGCGGCGCGGGAGAACCCAGAATTGAGGAGCGCCTGGGAGGACGCCGGGCTCACCTGCACCGCGTGGCTGAGCCCCTCGCGCACAGCGTAGTTGAAAGACTCGACATGCGCCCGCGTCAGCTCCTGCAACGCTGGCTTTTGCTGCTCCCGCGGGATCCCGTAAGAGGGGTCGGTCAAGTGCTTTAGGCTGGGCCCACTGGGCAGGTTTCGCCACCGTCCGCCGGGATCCATGAGTTTGCCTGCACACCGGGCGACAGCGACTGCTCCACACGCGCCGAAAAAATGCCCGGCGCCCAGCACCCACAACCTGCTGGGAAATGTAGTTCCTCTGGGTCTGCCGGCCCTGGGTCCTCCGATTTTACAGGGTCGACTAGAAACTAATACTATGGAGCAAGTGGGCCGGTCCAAAACCCTGCAGAGCCGGAGAGCGGCGGATCGGCTCCGTCTCCTCTCTTCCGGCGTCCACCCGTGTAGATCTCCGCTCTCCACTCAGAAAGCGGAAATCCGCTCCACGGCCAATTCCGCGTGTGAAATCTCCATCTTTCATTTGCGCTTTAGGACCGGCGGAGAGTGGTGTTCAAAGACTTCCTTTTCTTTCTTAGACCACTTTGCGATCCAATACTGATGCAGACTCTCAGGGTGACAGCCAACCGGAGTCCTGGCTTCAGGGAAAAAGCAGTTGGGCACCAAACCGATTGCTCTCTACCCAACTGTGAAGTCAGGAAGGTTCACCACTGGGACCATCTAGCGGTGATCCACCCCGCATTAGCCCCTCCCCGCGTCGTCTAGACTCGAGTTTTGAGCGGGAGCCGGCGGCGTGTGTGCAGGCGGGCGTCCTAGCCCTAAGATCCTGTAGTTATTTAGTCGCTAAGTCAAGTTCAACTCTTTACGACCCCATGGACTCTAGCCCGCTAGGCTCCTCTGTCCATGGGATTTCCGGGGCAAGAACACTGGAATGGGTTGCCATTTCCTTCTCCAGGGGATTTTCCTCAACCCAGGGATCCGGGATCTTAGTTCCCTGACCAGGGATCAAACCTGTGCCCCCTGCAGTGGAAATGCAGACTGTTAACCACTGGACCTCCAGTGGGATCCTTTGAGTCTCTGTAAATCCTATAATCCATTCATCTTCCCAGAAAACGATTTATCGGAGACTGTCTGCAGCTGTCTTTCAACTTAATCTTTCCTGTGTATGTGCGTTTAACGGCTCTATTGTGTACTGCGGTATAACAGACACACAATAAACAACCCCCATTTAAAGGGTACGCGCTGGTAAGTTTTGACTTAAGACCTAGATAGTATATTAAAAAGCAAAAGAAATTTAAAAAAATAAAAAAATATAAAAAGCAGAGACATTACTTTGCTAACGAAGGTCCATCTAGCCAAGGCTGTGGTTTTTCCAGTGGTCATGTATGGATGTGAGAGTTGAACTGTGAAGAAAGCTGAGCGCTGAAGAATTGATACTTTTGAACTGTGGTGTTGGAGAAGACTCTTGAGAGTCCCTTGGACTGCAAGGAGATCAGTCCTGGGTGTTCATTGGAAGGACTGATGCTGAAGCTGAAACTCTAATACTTTGGCCACCTCATGCGAAGCGTTGACTCATTGGAAAAGACCCTGATGCTGGGAGGGATTGGGGGCAGGAGGAGAAGGGGACGACAGAGGATGAGATGGCTGGATGGCATCACCGACTCAATGAACTTGAGTTTGAGTAAACTCCAGGAGTTGGTGATGGACAGGGAGGCCTGGCGTGCTGTGATTCATGGGGTCGCAAAGAGTCGGACACAACTGAGCGACTGAACTGAACTGACATACACCCTGGGCTTCCGTGATGAAGCTATCATCACAACTAAGATAATGAATTCATTCACCACTTACAGACATGTCCACCTGACCCAATTCCACCTTTACCTAGGTCAGGTGGTAATTCTCATTCCTATATCAATTAAAAAAAATTATCTTCCGTTTCTTTCTTGTGTTTACACCATCAAATCTCCCAAGATGTGTGCAGTTGTGACCTAAATTCTGCCTTCTCTTCCTTTACAGTGACTGCTCTTTTTAAGAAAAACTCTCTCCCTCAATTCCCTTTCCCTTGGTCAGGAAGGTAGGAGAATGAGGGGATTATGACAGGTGTGATCATTTCCATCAGCATACAAACTTGCTGGAAATGCTGTTAGACAAAAGACAACTCACTGATCTCTTTCTTGTCCCCTTTAGAACAAGGATCTTTAAAAGGTTGATCATCATTCCTGTCTCTCCACTGCTTTCAAGGTTCATCCATGTCTCAGCATATTTAGTACTTCATTCTTTTCACAGCTGATTAAGAACCCATTGTATGGAGACCCATTTTGTTAATCTGTTCACCTGTTGATGGACATTTGAATTGTTTCCGCCTTGACTATTGGGAGCAATGCTGCTAGAAACATCCAAGCACAAGTTTTTGTATAGACATATGTTTTCAATTCTCTTGGGTACTACAGCTATTTATGGGACATATAGTAACTGACTGAGGTACTGCCAAATTTTTCCAAAAGCAGCTGTACAATTTTACATTCCCACTAGCAATGTATGAGGGTTTCACTTTCTCCTGTCTTCACCAGTACTTACCCTCTGTGTTTTAAAAATTATATCCACCTAAGTTCATGTGAGGTAGTATCTATTTGTGATTTCTGTATTTCTCTAATGACTAGTGAGTGATATTGAGCACATTTTCATGTGTTATTGACCATTTGTATATTTCCTCTGGAGAAATGTCTGTTTAGATACTTGGTCCATTTTTCAGTCTCTTTTTAGGTCTATTCAGCATTTATCTTCTTTGAGTCAGTTTCATCATTTTAAATGTCTTTCTAGGAATATGCCCATGGTATCTAATTTGCTGGCCTGCAGTTGTTCATAGGATTCCCCCATAACCCTTTTTATTTGTAGTAATATCCTTTCATTCCTTATTTTATTAATCTGAGTTCTTTATATTTTTTCTTCACCAGTCTAGCTAAAGTTTTCTCAATTTTGTTGATCTTTTTTGAAGTGCCAACTTTTGGACTCATTGATTTTTATCTATTGTTTTTCTATTCTCTAATTCATGTATTTCCACATACCTTTATTGTTTCTACTTCCTTTGAATTTAGATTACTCTTCTAATTTCTTAAGGTGGGAGGTTAGGTTATTTAAAGATTTAAAATTTCCCTTAGGTATGGCTTTAACTGCATCCCAGAAGTTTTGGTATGTTGTGTTTTCATTTTCACTTATCTCAAAGTTCTTTCTAATTTCCCTTGTGACTTCTTTTTTCAATCCATTGGCTATTTAGGAATGTGTTTTTTAATATTCATAGATTTGTGATTTTCCCAGATTTGTTAATGGTTTCTAGTTTTATTTCATTGTGGTCAGAGAACATATGTAGTATGATTTCAATAATTCATTGAGGCTTTATGGTGTACCATATGGTTTATTCCTGAAAAGGTTTCACATATACTTGAAAAAATGTATATTTGCTATACAAATACATTAAATATATAGTTGGGTATAGTGTTCTATAGATACTTGTTAGATATGGTTAGTTTATATTGTTTTTTATTTCATTGTTGATCTTCTAGACATTATTGAAAATGGGAGAGTGAAAACTCCCAACTATTATTATTGAATGTCTATTTCTGTCTTCAGTTCTGCCATTTTTTGCCTCATGTATCTTGGGACTCTTTTGTTAGGTACATGTGTTTATAATTGCTGTATCTCCTGATGGAGTGATCTTTTTATTATTATAAAATGTCCTTCTTTGTCTGTAGTGACAATTTTTTTCCTAAAGCCTATTTTATCTAATATTTGTATGGCCATCTAAGCTCTCTCTGAGTTACTGTTTGCATGTTATATTTTTTCTCATACCTTCACCTCTTGCGTCTTTGAATCTAAAGACTGTCTCTTGTAGATGGCATAGAGTTGGATTGTGGTTGTTTTGGCTTTTTATCCATTTTGCCAGTCTCTACCTTTTGACTGAGTCTTTAATCCTCTAGCATTTAATGAAATTACTGATAAGATAGGAATTTATGTCTACAGTTTGCTATTTGCTTTGTATATGCCTCCTACTTTCCCCCATTCCTTAATTACTGCCTTTTCTTTTGTTAAATGTTTTCTAGTGTAATATTTTCCACCAGGGCTTCTCTGGTGGCTCAGATGGTAAAGAATCTGTCTGCAATGCAAGAGATCTGGGTTCGATCCCTGGGTTGGGAAGATCCCCTGGAGGAGGGCATGGCAACCCATTTCAGTATTCTTGCCTGGAGAATCCCCATGGACAGAGGAGTCTGGCGGCTTCAGTCCATGGGGGTCACAGAGAGGCGGACACGACTGAGTAAGCAGTACAGTGTAATATTTTAGTTCCCATGTCCCTTTTTACTATATACTTAAAGTCATTTTTTTTTTAGTGGTTAATGTGTCTTGGAATGGATCTCTTTGAATCTATTCTACTTAGAGTTCATTGAACCTCTTGAATGCAGTTTAATGGTTTTCATCAAAGAGGGAAAGTTTTTGACCACTACTTCTTCCAGTATGTTTTCTGCCACCCTCTCTCTCTTGCCTTTCTTCTAGGATTCCTGTTATGTCTATGTTGGTGTACATATATACCAACAGTTAAGTTCTGGAGCCTGTTCATTTTTTCTTCATTCTTTTTTCTTTTATTCCTCAGACTAGATGATCTCAACTGAATTCAGAGTCACTGATTCCTTCTTTTGCCAGCTCAAACCTGCTTATGAACACCTCTATTAAATTTTTCATTTGCTTTATCATACTTTCCAATGCCAAAATTTATACTTTGCTTTATTCAGAAAACAATTTCTATTTCTTTAATGATACTGTGTCTTTGGTGACACATCATCCTATCTCTTTTATTTCTTTAAACATATTTTAAATAGCTGAATTAAAGTGTTTATGTAGTTAAGTTCATTGCCTGCACTTCTTCAGGGATGATTCCTATTGACTGTTCCCTCTGTGGGGCATGCTTTCTTTTTCTTTGCATGTCCCATAACTTGTTATGAAAACGTTAATAATACAATGGGGCAATTTCGGAAAACCACTCTTCCCTCTTCAGGGTTTATCATTGTTTTTTTAGTGACCTTCCTGAACTAATTCTGTCAAGCCTGTATTTTTTGATGTATGGTCACTGAAGTGTCTGCTCTATTAGCATAGTGGTCAACCAATGATTCTACAGAGATTTCCTTAAACACTTGGAACAAGTACATCTCCCAGTCTTTGGCACAGGACTGTGTATGTATGTTTTTGTGTGTATGAAAGGTATGCCTTCATGCTCAAGCAGGCAGT